GTGGTCACATCCATGTGTTCAACATACGATGAATAGGAAGTCCAAGGTAGTGAATCACAATATAAACTTTTTTCAGGCCAAGCTACATCTTCACACCCAGAAAGGAAATCAGAATCTGGAATAATAATTAAGGACATAGAATAAGACCTTAATTCTTTCCAAACAAATAAGGTTCTAAAGGGTTGACATATTTCAACTATTTATTGAACAGACAAACCTGATACTAGAGTTGTATGCATCCAAAAAACGTGTAGTGAAAACGACTTTTAACAAATACTGAGTATTTATTTAAACACCTTGTGGCCTCATGTCTCCGTTTTTCTCAAAAAATAAATAAAATAAATGAGATGAGAAATAACTTATTTGGATTCATCGTACATCCAGGACAGGATGAGATGATTTTGTCACAAAATCACATGTAGAACTAGAGAAAATAATGGTACAGTCAAATTATGACGTGGTTCATCCCAGTCATGGGCTCTATTAAGAGCCACCACAACTTGTCTTAAGGAGTGCATCCTTAATGTGTAAAATTCTCACCTATTGTTGAGAATAACACGATACTCGTGTGTGACAGTAACCATCATAATCCACCTTCATGTTAATGACTGAAGGTTTAAACTCTCTATTGATATTTTATTATTATAGGTGTGGTTATGGAACATTTATTAAAATTGTGTAATTAAAATAAGATCGTGTTTATAACATTCATCACGGGTGTTTCTCGACACACAAGATCTCATTCACTACTTGACTTAAAAGAATTTTCTCTTTAGTTGTGATGTGGTGGCTCTTAAAAGAGCCTTTGTGTTTGTTGAAGTCAGGATTGAGTGTCTACTTCTTGGTGGCCTTCTCGGTCTTCTTGGGCAGGAGAACAGCCTGGATGTTGGGCAGCACTCCTCCCTGAGCGATGGTGACTCCTCCGAGCAGCTTGTTGAGCTCCTCGTCGTTGCGGACAGCCAGCTGCAGGTGACGGGGGATGATACGGGTCTTCTTGTTGTCACGGGCAGCGTTACCGGCCAACTCCAGGATCTCAGCGGTCAGGTACTCGAGCACAGCCGCCAGGTAGACGGGGGCTCCGGCACCAACACGCTGGGCATAGTTTCCTTTACGCAGCAGCCTGTGGACACGACCGACTGGGAACTGGAGCCCGGCACGGGAGGAGCGGGTCTTCGCCTTTGCTCTGGCTTTTCCGCCGGTTTTGCCTCTTCCTGACATGGTGTAGGTTAATTTCTAGAGTCGGTACTGAGAGAAATAAATTCTATGCCGAGATGTCCCTCTTATATGTCCGCGTAGCGCGCTCGTTTTCCTGCCCCACCAACCAGAAAAGAGGCTTCGAGTTTAGCAGAGGAGGGCGGCCCCACTCGCAGCCTCGCTCCGCGATTTGAAAAACGTTTCTCCAATGAGCAGCGGAGATTGAGGCGGGGACTCGATCAGTGATGTGTCGTTCATCTGGGTGAATGAACTGAACTGAATCACTTCCTGAAAAGAGTCGTTCATTTCTCAACTTCAGTTGTTCTCTCCTCTCTCCTCTCTCCGGTCTCGTCTCTCTCTCCAGACTGTAAGAGTCTCTCAAAGCCCTCCCTCTCCTCTCATGTCAGTGAAACGTACTGACTGAACCAACAGGACGGAGTCGGTCAGGAGCTCTGAGTCTCTAAAGCCCGTCTCTACTTCTCCCTCTCATGTCTCCAAAATTGAGGAAGTAGAAAATATATTAGCTATATATATATATAGTATATAAATATATAGCTTTTTATATCTGCTGTCAGTTTACAAACGGCTTTTATATCCAACTTAATTTAACTCAGCTGACTGTTTTAACATCTACTAACGATCGTGTGTGTGTGTGTGTGTGTGTGTGTGTGTGTGTGTGTGTGTGTGTGTGTGTGTGTGTGTGTGTGTGTGTGTGTGTGTGTGTGTGTGTGTGTGTGTGTGTGTGTGTGTGTGTGTGTTCACTGAACGAACTGAGAGGAAGAGAGTAACTCGGAGGCGGAGCTCTCGTTCAGTTCGTTCACGAATCAGATTTTGAGTTTAAAAAGATGATTATAATACATTCAATGTGACAATTACAAATATCTAGATGAAGAAAGACATAAATGTTCATTTGATGCAGAATTGAAAGCTGTGGTTTAATTCAGCTCTTCAGCAGTCCTTCAACAGATGGTCAATTTTACGATTTTGCACAGACTGGTTTCGGTCACAGTTTATGTCTTTGGGGTCAATTCGTAGATAGCAGAGTGTTCTGTTTCCGCTCGGTTGTTTATCCCAGGTGTTGTAAAAGTTCATAATATCTTGTCTAAGAGGGAGACTTAAGTCATTGATCAGTTCCTTTGTTCCTTGGTAAAAGTAAAGTGAATCCACAGTCCTGAGTCCTGCAGGAAGAGAGGTTGTAAAACGTGGCTGCTGACAGCGGCTACACTAAAGTGAAAAAATCTAAAGACAATTAACCTCACTGAAAGCTAACAACAAGAAAGCTATAGTTCTTTGACTACAATAACTTTCATGTCCTTTGGTCATATTCAAAAAAATAATTACAATTTATTAAATAGAGAATAACAACTTTTACCTTCTCTCCAATATGTATTTTACTTACTTTTCACCTGTTTTGCCCTCGTCCCACACTCAAACCTTGTATGTTCAACGATGAAAATGTATTATAAATCGTGATTAATCATATGAATGTTGATGTACTTGTATTAAGTAGTACTTAAACGATCAAAAAATATGTTATTATTTAATGTGAGACAATTGTAAATATTCATTTTTACTCAAAATATATCTGTCACAGTTTAACTGTTATTTCTACCACACTGATGTATTTTCCAATCAAAACGTCTGAAAGAGAGATTGGTTAGGTTTGCTTGCTTGAGCCGTTTTATTTCGTATAGGCTTCGCCCTCTAAGGCTATCGCTATTGGGTTTATCCCTCGCACACCTGCGCAGCACTGAAAGAGTTGTAATCCACGGCCACCCACAGTCCACCCACCCACGGTCCACCCCCAGGTATATAACCCGCTGAGACCTTGTGTTCTGTTCCCTCTTTTCTTCAGCGCTCGATTGGGCACTGCTGTGAGTTAGGAAATAACAAAGTCTCCAGTGCTGCTCTAAGCGACTATAGCAGTGACCTCTGCCCGCATCACAACGTGACAGACACAGGTACATCGGCACCTCTGGCTGCAGCGGTCATCGATCCCCAAGGCTGCCAAGAGGGAGCTCGTGGACACACCCATCACCTGTGAAGGGTTGTTCGGGCCCACCTTCGGTGCCATGGCTGACGGCCTACGGCACAACAGATTACACGGTCTCAGCCGGTTATATACCTGGGGGTGGACCGTGGGTGGTTGGGGCCCACCTCGTAGGTGGGCGTGGACCTACAACTCTTTCAGTGCAGAGGGATAAACCCAATAGCGATAGCCTTAGAGGGCGAAGCCTATACTCATAACTGTCGATTTTTATGGTACATCATTTCCAAACATACTGTACCTCCATGGAAGTTTGTAGGTGGAAAGATTTTTTAAAGTTAAATAAATGTCTTTTGTAAGCATTATGTGCTAAATATCAAATCAAAACTAAAATGTAAAAATGAGTTGCGGTATTTCCCAAAATACTGTAAAAATGTAATTTCCATCACCATCATTTCCTACTGGTGGAAATGACATTTATACTGTTGTGCTGACAATATGGACTGTATAACAGTAAAACTATGATTACTGATTATTTTAACCTATTTGTATCAACTCACATTTTGCATTTCAACAGAAATATTTAAAGTAAATGTGTTTACTGTTTTCAAATTAAGATTTTCTACATCAATGTACATAAATTACATTTCCATCACTGCACACATTTTTGGAAAATATTCAAAAAGTTCTAATTATACTTTAAAAACTTCTTCACAATGTGTTAGCTCACACTCTACTGAATGCAACATTATTATTTATTTATTTCAAAACAGTATTTACATAAAACAACATTAGATTTCATATTGAGGTTAATGTGTGATAAGCCATTTGAACCTTGTGACATTTAATTAATCTAATTAACAAATGTATAAACATTTTAAAATGGTATAAAATTGCAAAACTAGTTATGAAAAAGGAATGTATTATTTGGGGGTGTCATATGTCATGTATTTCTTAGACAAAATGCTGTTTGTTTAGATGTGGAGGAAATTACATTAGTTCATTAAGGGTCAGATTACTTTTCAAGAATGACCAAATTCTGTTGTGATGGTAGTTCATCCATTCTTGTACCTTAAAACTAGGCAAATTAGGTCACCTCATGACTTTGATAAGTGTAATTTGGGAGGCAGAAAAGGCAGAAAAGTGCACCAAGGTGAAGAAACACCTAAACACTGTAAACCTGATTCAAGACAGCGGAAATGTTTAATCTCTTGTGTGTGGTGGATGGATCACTCTAGTTAAGAGAAACAGAAGGATGGAGACGGATAACTTTCTCAGCAGCACTTTACTGTCATCCACATTGTTCTGCTACACAACAACCACCACACTTCCTCGTTACTCATCACATGTCACGTCATTAGCCAATCAGAGGTTAGGATGATTAAACTCAAGGCAAACACAGAAGTAGATTCAATATAATTTGGTCACAGTTACTAGGTGCTACTGCAAACATTAACACATGTAAATATATCAATATTAACTTTGTAAACTCAAATATATAAATAGTTCACTGTATAAATGTTAACTTATTTTTAACTTAAATACATGGATTAAGTCAAATATATGAATTTACTTCACTTTTAAATCTTACAGTAGTTTTTCAAGAGATAAAATAAAAGCTTGTTCTGCAGCTCCTCAGAGTGATCAATGGTGGACGTTACTTTCCTAAACTCATTTTGCCCTCCAGGCCTCAGCTCCGGCCAGGTGACTGAAAGCCTCGAGGCGCACCAATCGCAGGAAATCCTGTGTGAGCAACAGCACATCCTCATTTGCTTTAAGACCAGATTTTAACACATTTCTAACACTCACAGGATCATCCGTTTTTGAGACCACCACTCAACAAACATGCCTGAAACCGTGGAAGCGCCCAAGAAGGGCTCAAAGAAAGCCGTCTCTAAAGCAACTAAGACCGGAAAGAAGAGGAGAAAGTCCAGGAAGGAGAGCTATGCCATCTACGTCTACAAAGTCCTGAAGCAGGTCCACCCTGACACCGGTATCTCCTCCAAGGCTATGGGCATCATGAACTCGTTCGTGAGCGACATCTTTGAGCGCATCGCCGGGGAGTCCTCCCGTCTGGCTCACTACAACAAGCGCTCCACCATCACCTCCAGGGAGATCCAGACCGCTGTCCGCCTGCTGCTGCCCGGTGAGCTGGCTAAACACGCCGTGTCTGAGGGCACCAAGGCTGTGACCAAGTACACCAGCTCCAAGTAAACCCGCTGATCACCAGCAACACAACGGTCCTTTTAAGGACCACACAACACTTCATCTGAGAGTTGGAATCCTGATTGCTGTACACGGCTATGATTTATATTGCAATAGAAAGAGGTCATTCACTTAAACTAGACTATTTATTCTGGGTAAGGGAACTGAAGTAAAACAGTAATTTAATCTTGTGTCACTGTGCATCAGAATCTGGGTTTATTGCCAAGTATACTTAAACATAAAAGGACTTTAACTTGGTGTATTGGTGCTAAATTACAAAGGAAGTACTATGAGAACAGTAATAGTAAAAAAGTTTAGTAGGACATTCAGGGCAGGAAGTGAAATGTTACAAATATGCTGTGTTCACCTAAATGCAGCAGCAGTTTAACTGCCAACACTTCATCTAAAAGCTGAAATCTTGGTTGTACTATTACACCTGTGGATGTGGGCACATTTATTTAATATCAGGCTGTTATAAGGAAATTCATACTACGATCCACAATGATTACAGCAGGAAAGTGTGGTGAAGTCGTCAACTTAAACACAGCATCAAGAAACAGTTAAATATAACAGCCTTGATTATGCTTACACTAATATGTAGATCCAAATAAAACTAAGTAATTTGTCATACAGGCAACAATCTGCTCAAGTCAAATGTGTTTGGTATGTTATTCCACCCACCACCACCCCCACCCTCTTTCCATTTATTGTTCTGTCTGACAACCCGAGTAAATCTCATCAAATTCAAGCTATAAGAAAGTATCTGTTCATAAATGTTTGCTTGAGAATCGTTACGAGGTATTGAATTCGGATCTGGGTCAGTAAGACATGTACAGAGATGATAGTTGCAGAAGTAATACGAAGAACCCACAATTCATTATTGCTATTTTTATAGAATTAAAGGACACCACTCGTACTGGGTGGGTGAGGAATCAAGTGTTGGTATATTGCCAGACATGATTTTAGTGTAAATATGTTTCGGACACATGCAAGTAGGTGACGTAGTAAATTTCAACGTGAACAGGCCTTAATGGCAATTTCCTTGCATGAGCTCATTCCGTGAAAGTGTGACTTTATACTTCAGAAGTATGTGTTCAGAATAATATAAATATATAGTTCAGAATGCTACTAAAAGCGAACCATCATATCGTTTTAAACAGGTTTCTCTTTAGTGCAAGTGTGTGGCTCTTAAAAGAGCCTTTGGGTTTGAGTGTGAGTGGGTCAGGATCAGGTTTAACCTCCGAAGCCGTACAGAGTGCGTCCCTGTCTCTTCAGAGCGTAAACCACATCCATGGCGGTGACGGTCTTCCTCTTGGCATGCTCGGTGTAGGTGACAGCATCACGGATGACGTTCTCCAGGAACACCTTCAACACACCACGAGTCTCCTCGTAGATGAGACCAGAGATACGTTTGACTCCACCACGACGAGCCAGACGGCGGATAGCGGGCTTGGTGATTCCCTGGATGTTATCACGGAGGACTTTACGGTGACGCTTAGCGCCTCCTTTACCGAGTCCTTTACCTCCCTTTCCTCTTCCAGACATGTTAGCAGATCAGTTGATGAGAGCTGAATGATACTGAGTTAGGATTCACGGTTAACTATATCTAGTCTCTGAGAACCTTATAGAAGACAAAGTCTACTCTTCTTCTTCGCTCATGTTTTTCAAACACAAAATCTCATGAATCATTAGCGCCCCCCTCTGATCAGCAGCAGGAATCAGGGACAGCGTGACTCCTGTTAGACTGACTGAGCTCCACATTGAGCAGGAGGTGAAGAAAACATCCAATATCTTGGATTGGAATCATTCACACCGAGATGAAAGAAGATTATTTTTATTCTGTTTCTAAACAAATGACACAACATGCTGCAGCAGGGATCATTTCAGCACCTCGGACAGCGAAGGTCATAAAAAACATCCAGGAGAGGAGGACAGGAAGCTCCATCAGCACACCTTTAAGAAATGATGACTGAATGTTGAAAGAAAAAGAAAGTCTATAACAACCCAACACAAAAATATGTTGTATTGTAGTTTATTTCAATAGCACAAATTAAATAAGTAAACATACTGAGAGAGCAGAACAAATACATAAAACTGAAAATAAATCAAAACTTTTCCTTTATGTGAGTCCCTTTAACAACAGACAGTTTAAATCCCAGATGTGAAGCTTTGAAATTAGTTCAGTTTTAGTTTAAGTGTTTTCAAGGTAACTTAACATCATCGCATTTCTGTTTCTCATCTCTCTTTGGTTTTGTCTGCAGTATTTTTTTTCTTCGTAAGTTCTTGAGATTTGAGATTTGACTGTTTCCTCTCTCTTTTTTATTTCTACTTATAAATTCAATTATCTGCACATTACCTGGCTCTGTTCCTGTCTTAACCTGTTCATAAGGAAGCTCCTCACTTCAAACTCTGTCTCTCTTTAGAACAGTCTTTTATAATATTTAGCAAATTCTTCATCTACTTTGTCTCATTCTGACACAAGTTCAGCTCACTTCCTGATTTCAATTCAGTAATTTATCCTGTCTTGCTTCTTTAGTCTATATGCTAGAAGTCATAATTCATGTTTTGCATAATTTCATGAATGTCTCCACTTCCTCTGTTTGGATCATTTCCTCATCTTTGTGTTTCTTTCTTTTTTGTTTTATTCCAAACATGTGATGCTGTAATGTCCTCTGTTTGATTGTTTTAATCTTTATTTAAATGTTGTGTTGTAATATGAGAAACACTGCTTTAGCTCCTTCCCAATAAAGTCATCAGATTTATATCCCCAGTGTCATGTATAAGTTTTGTTTGATTACATATATTTTTTTCCTACAAATATTGTATCAAAGAGTAGTTATTTAACCTCTGGATTGTATGTGAAGATTTAAATATAATGTCACGATGACATGATGTCATGAGTCTCCTTTGCCTATTTAAATATGTATAAATGTGACATGAACACAATAAGAAATCAAGGAATGAAACCTGTCAATAAGGCAGTGATTGTACCTTCCTGCGTTCATACTGTGTGGTGGTAATTTACTGATTTTATTTTAGCTGAACGGTGATTGTAGAAAAATACACACGACTCAGATGAGGAAGATTTTAAGTGATAACGATAGATGAAAAAAAAAATGTATAGGCCAAATGAGAAAACTGCAGACAAAAACCTCAGGTGATGTCGTCATGACACTCTGGGAGACATTTGGAACAGTTGGACATGGTTCTCTTCAGAAGGGTCGCTCACAGTGACTTTAATAAGAGACAAACTCTCCTACAGTCTGAATACATCAAAGAACATTTAAAACAACTAACACTACAGAAAACAACCACACCCACAGACGATCAACAGCAGAACGTCTACCCAAAGGGACTCCACACCTCCACACAATAGAATCAAACATGGAGAGCAGAGCAAAGGGAATCACACTGTTCTTAATAGAGATGATAATTACCAGTTGGTCAGTCACAGAGAGGTGATTCAGGAAGTCCTGAGATGAAAATCCAGCTTCACTCTTCTCTAATCCAAAGTACTTCACAAGTTTATTAAAATTCCCTCACAGTGTAAAGTTCAAAAGGAAAAGTTAAAGTGAGGCCCAGATGATGGAGGAGATAACCTGAAGACCTGAGGTCAACACACAACATTTATATCCTGATAATTATCATTATCGTTTCATCTCCACGGCTTCATGTCGATATTTATAAAAGCAAACTGAAGACCTTCTTACTGAATAGATATTATATATAGTATCTAACTTTAAACATATATCTGCGTCTGTTTTGTTGATTTAAAGATCATCTTGTTCTGTTTTATTTCCAGCTTATCTTTTAGTGTTTTATTATCTTCTTGTGTGTTTCCTCAGTCCATTAATCACTTTTTATAACAATACTTTTTTATCATGTGCATGGATTGTGTGTGTGTGTGTGTGTGTGTGTGTGTGTGTGTGTGTGTGTGTGTGTGTGTGTGTGTGTGTGTGTGTGTGTGTGTGTTATATAAAGACACACATATTTGATGTCTTGTGGAGACCATTATTTGTTCCCATAGTGCGTCTTTAAAGATAACTAAACTAATGTGGTGGATCTTAATAATGATATGGATCTGTATGAGGAGCATCCTGTAGCATCTTAACCGTCTTCATGAATCACTGTGACATTTATTCCAAGTGGTCGTCAGTGAACCTGTTTGTGATCCAAACTTAAAGGCCTGTAGAAGTAATGGTGTCAACTTGAATGTTTTATGGGATTCAATTATTTATTGAAAGAAAGAAAGTCTATAATGAAGTGATTCCTGAGTTCATAGTGTGTGCTGGTGATTTACTGAAGCTCTTTTAGCTGAACGATGATTCTAGAAATCTGCACCTCTCAAGAAACATGAGGGAGATTAAATATTGACAATGTCTCTTCATGAGATAATACAAGTTTAGTATATATATATATATATATATATATATACACACACCTGGCAAACTCGTGATGAATTTGAATAACCCATGAAATTCAAATATAGTTAAGTGAAGAATACATAAAGTGTAAGATAAACATAGTGTTTATTATGTTAATAACTTTGTAAAAGGTCAGTGCTCTGTATGGTTAGAGATGACTACATTATTATGTTATTGTGGTTGCAGTACTGTAGGCAGCAACTAGTGTAAAACATGAGACTAGAATGAAATAATGAAGTCATCAGTATGAAGTGAAGAGTAGAGGAAGATGTCTTAGTGAAATGTGGTGGCTCTTAAAAGAGCCGTTGTGGTTGTTTTGGAGAGTAGACAGATTAAGCTCTCTCTCCGCGGATCCTTCTGGCCAGCTGGATGTCTTTGGGCATGATGGTGACCCTCTTGGCGTGGATAGCGCAGAGGTTGGTGTCCTCGAAGAGACCGACCAGGTAAGCCTCGCTGGACTCCTGCAGAGCCATGACAGCGGAGCTCTGGAAGCGCAGGTCGGTCTTGAAGTCCTGAGCGATCTCACGGACCAGACGCTGGAAGGGCAGCTTGCGGATGAGCAGCTCGGTGGATTTCTGGTAACGACGGATCTCTCTGAGAGCCACGGTACCGGGCCTGTAACGATGGGGCTTCTTGACGCCGCCGGTGGCCGGGGCGCTCTTACGGGCAGCCTTGGTGGCCAGCTGCTTCCTGGGGGCTTTGCCTCCGGTGGATTTACGAGCGGTCTGCTTAGTTCTTGCCATGGTTTCTAGTCTCTGAGTGAGAGGTAAATGTGTCAGAGACTGGAGACGAGCTGCCTTTAAAAAGAGTGAGCGGATGTGAAACAGTGACGCTGCTCCAGACCTCTAGCCTCTGATTGGTGACAAAGCCGCTTCTGGAGCTCAGTCCCGCAGGGGGGGGGATCGAGCCCCCGCCTCAATCTCCGCTGCTCATTGGAGAAACGTTTTTCAAATCGCGGAGCGAGGCTGCGAGTGGGGCCGCCCTCCTCTGCTAAACTCGAAGCCTCTTTTCTGGTTGGTGGGGCAGGAAAACGAGCGCGCTACGCGGACATATAAGGGGGGACATCTCGGCATAGAATTCATTTCTCTCAGTATCGACTCTAGAGATTAACCTACACCATGTCAGGAAGAGGCAAAACCGGCGGAAAAGCCAGAGCAAAGGCAAAGACCCGCTCCTCCCGTGCCGGGCTCCAGTTCCCAGTCGGTCGTGTTCACAGGCTGCTGCGTAAAGGAAACTATGCCCAGCGTGTTGGTGCCGGAGCCCCCGTCTACCTGGCGGCTGTGCTCGAGTACCTGACCGCTGAGATCCTGGAGTTGGCCGGAACGCTGCCCGTGACAACAAGAAGACCCGTATCATCCCCGTCACCTGCAGCTGGCTGTCCGCAACGACGAGGAGCTCAACAAGCTGCTCGGAGGAGTCACCATCGCTCAGGGAGGAGTGCTGCCCAACATCCAGGCTGTTCTCCTGCCCAAGAAGACCGAGAAGGCTGCCAAGAAGTAGAGACCTAATCCTGACCTCAACAAACACAAAGGCTCTTTTAAGAGCCACCACATCACAACTAAAGAGAAAATTCCTGATATATAATCATACTGTAGTAGCACACATGTTACGCTATTACAGTAAAAAGTGTAATTGTGTTTGAGTAAGTGTAGAATATCAAGCACCGTATGAGGATTGAGGACACTATTTGTAATTAAACATATTTATCAACAGAGCGCACACACAGAATTTGTTACACATTAAACATATTTTAAGCAAATCACTAATATAAACAAGGCTAAATAAGACAATAGAGGTGAGTAGTGCAAAAAATGCTGAGGTGAACAAGATAATAAATATATAGTTATGTAACAGATGGTTAATATACTGTATATGAGGTAGAGTTTTTACAGTGTTTACATACAGTGTGCATAGATCAGTGAGAGGATAATATTTCAGTTATTCAAAAATAAAAATGGTTATAATAGTCTTCTGTACACTCAGGGTGGGTTCTTGATAGCAGGGTTACCGGTCCTTCACAGCGACAGGACATTGTGGATCCCAGAAACCTGAAAGAGTCCACAGTAGACACTGTGCTGTTCAGTATGGAGAGTGGGGAAAGAGGAGGGGGGTTTCTACAGGACCATAATGTAAGAGTTTGTCCTCATCAGGACTCTGACCTGGAAGAGGACCCTCTTTACAAAGAGCTTTGTTCCCTCAGCTGTTGAAGCTCTAAATAAGCTTCCACGCTGACCGGCCTATTTCATCGTCTGTCTTTCTTCCTGTTCATGTTTACTTCATGTGCCATGTCATCATATATGTATACCTGTGTGCCAACTGCACAAAGCTGTGACAACACGTTTCCCCCTGGAGGACGATTCAGTGTTGATCACCCTCCATTTGTATTTATTGTCTGAATTCTGTTTCTATAGATTAAGAAAAATGTTGAAGGTCCATTTGATCAAATAAACTGAGCTGAGATTCTTCTTGACTGTACTGTATGTATTCAACTTATTACACTCATTGAGGTGTTTATACACAAAGATCTACATTATTAAAGTATTACTATCTTGCATTTTGAACATAATACTCTGAAAAGTAATGACAGACTCTAAAAGACTGAGAGAAGTGTAAACACTAAAAGCTGATGTAAACATTCAGAGGTGATTATATAGATTACATGATTCTAGATCATTGAGGACAGACTCTTTAGTGGAAGTTGTGGTGGCTCTTAAAAGAGCCTTTGATGCATTGAATGCTGGTGTGAAGATTTACTTCTTGGCTGCAGTCTTCTTTGTTGCAGTTTTCTTCACTGGAGTCTTCTTGACCACTTTCTTGGCAGCAGCCTTCTTAGGACTCTTTGCAGCAGGCTTTTTGGTTGCCTTCTTTGCTGGAGCTTTCTTAGCTGCTACCTTCTTCGGGGACTTCTTGACTGCTGCTACTTTCTTGACTGGAGTCTTCTTCTTGGGTGTAGCTTTCTTTGCTGCGGGCTTCTTTGCCTTGGCTGGAGCTTTCTTTGCGACCTTCTTCGCTGCTGGTTTGGCGGCTTTGGGCTCTTTCTTTGCGAGCTTGAAAGATCCGGAGGCACCACTGCCTTTAGTCTGAACCAAAGTGCCCTTTGTTACCAGCTTGACCACGGCGGCGTTGATGCGTTTGTTAGCCTTAACCACATCCACACCTTTAGCGGCCAGTGCCTTCTTCAGGGCCGATAAGGAAACACCTTTGCGCTCTTTGGACTCAGACACAGCGCTGACGATGAGCGTCGGGAGGGAGGGTCCATCAGACTTCGGCTTCGGTTTAGGAGCCGCTTTCTTCTTCGGGGCTTTCACCACCGGGGCTTTCACCACCGGGGCTGCTGCTGCTGGTGCTGCTGGAGCTTCTTCTGCCATGTTGATCTCTCACTGGACGTGTGGAGAAGAGTGACAGGAGGCGGGACTTATAGGGAACATGAGAACCGTGAAGAGTCAACCCACACAGACGCTCTTCTTCCTGTCTGAAATGTGGCGACACTTTGTGTTTTATCTTCAACTTTATGGGGATTAAACTCACACAGAGAATCTGTTTAAACGGAAAAAACGTCCCGCATCAGTTAGAAAACCTTCATCTCTTCAGATTCAGCTCATGTTTGTGGACGAGGTCTCTTTAATTTCATTACAGCAGGCTTCAAACCTCTATGATACCCGCTCTGTTTGGACAACACGCGGGGATTTTCCGACACATTTCGGCTCCTAAAGTGTCTTAATGAGACCTGTGAAAGTTTTAAAAGGATGATAGAGTAAGAAGAGACATCAGTTATTTAAATAAAACAAACATTAACCTTATACTTTGATGTGTTTAGTTTTAATCGGAGAGTTTTCAGTGGAGGTAAACACACGGAGGCTGTCGGAGACTCAGGAGGTCACACAGACTCACAGATGATGTTGTGGGTTTGATCTCCAGGTCAGACCAAAATATAGAATTCATCAAGAGGACACAAAGTTAAAGGTTTATAATAATACGATGTAACAATCTAACAACATAATGAATCATTCCTGTGCTGAGAGAGACTGAATACATCACATCAGTTTGAGTTTGTGTGGAGAGCAGTTTTCTGTCTATAGGTTTAACAATCATCACTGTCAATTGAGTAATAACATCACATTAATCAAATTAATTAACATTAAATAAATCTCTAATTCTCCTCAGCTGATCTCCTCGTTGATCATGGTGGACTCAGAGTTATTTCTCCTCTTCTGTGATTTATTTCAGGTAAAAAGATCAGTAAAGATTCTACAGATAGACTGTGAGTCATGATTACTTTTTAAGGTTCATTCATATGAAACTCATTTAACTTTTATTATGTGAAATATTAAACTATTTTTCACAGATATTTTAGATTTTGTTTTTAATTATTATTTTTGGACCCAAAGGTGGATCGTCTGGCCTTTTCAGCTTGCATGAAAAAAAAGTGTGAAATATTCTGTCAAGTGCTTTTTAAACATGCTTGTTTTGTTCTGTCATGTTTTTTTTTTCATACCGTCTGAGTTCCAAACAGCACAAACTTTCCATATAAGTTGTGTAGATGTAGAAAAAATTCAGAAACTATAAAGTTGTGATTTTTCATGAAGAAGTCAGAGAGGGGGGGTCTTGAGGCTAAACCAGGTGAGAACCTGTAAAACTATTAAAGGTGAATTTATATTTGAATGAAGAACATGCTCAGGGATTAGACACATTTAATTCAGCACTTTAATTTGGAAACAGTTCATATACTTGAGTAGAAATAATTTTGATCTTATAAGTATAAAATATGAGTTGTGAGTAAATTGGTTGCTGATCGAGCTGTACCTCTTTACTGTGACAAGTATATTAACAGTGTATGTGAATACATAGAAAATATATTGAAGCTTTTTATGTAAATACTATAGTAAAAATATTTATGTAAATAAAGAATTTATGTTTCTCTGAACATTTATAACCATTGCACACAGGACAGATGACAACAAGAGTCAACAGATTGGATGATACAAAGTGATACAAATCATTCATGCCATTACTTCATCTCGAGTTTACTTTTGCAACGCCCTGTTCACCTGCCTCAGTGCAGCCCGACTTCTGACAAAGACAAAACGCTTCGCTCACATCGCTCCACTTGTAGCCTCTTTGCATTGGTTACCTTTTAGGATCCATTTCAAAATTTTTACTTCTAACTTACAAGGCTTTACATGGCCATGCACCAGACTACATAAATGAACTCCTTAATCAATCAATCAATCAATCAATCAATCAATCTTTATTTCTATAGAAACATTTAAAACAACCTTGATTGACCAAAGTGCTGTACAAGCGTAACAAACACAATGTAAAAAAAACAAGTAAAATAACATATAGAATGAAGCACAATAAAAACACAATAAATAGGAGCATAAATAAAATTTCAAAATGTCAAGCTCAAATTGTATTAAAAGCCAGAGCAGAGAGGTGAGTTTTAAGCAAAGATTTGAAGTTGTCAATGGACTGAGCAGTTCTTATATTAACAGGTAGACTGTTCCACAGATTGGGAGCAGCCACAGCATAAGCTCTGTCACCTCAGGTTTTCAACCTGCACCTTGGAACTTCCAAGAGCATCTGTGTTAGAATGGGGCCTAAAATGGAGCCTTGAGGGACCCCACAGGCTAGTGGGGCCGCAACTGAGGAGTAAGAGGCCTAAATGAACAGAAAAGGTCCACTCTGTGAGGTATGATTTAAACCAATTTAGGACATCACTTTTAATGCCAACACACAGTTCGAGGCGAGATAAAAGAATCTGATGATCAACTGTATCGAAGGCAGCAGTTAATTCTAACAGCACCAGCTCCTCGCTCCTTAACTCCTCACTCCTTAACTCCTCACTCCTTAACAACCAAATGGCCTCTGAGATCTGCAGGGTCAGGCCTCCTAGTAGTTCCACAGTCCAGACTAAGGTCAAAGGTTTATCAAACATTTTCTGTAGTGACTCTTCAGCTTTGGAACAGTCTTCCTGCTGATGTACGATCTGATGACACTGTCTCTGTTTTTAAATCCAGACTGAAGACACATTTTTACACACTTTTCTGTGCAAAATACTTAAGATGAACGTTCACATTAAGTCCAACAGTGGGTATACTGGGAAATAAGAAAGATGGGGTAACCTCAAAATAATTCAAAATAACTTGATTGGATTAGCCTTTCTATCTGTCAAACAGATAATTCTTATGAATTGGAAGGTAAGAAAGCTGAATTGTTTTGACATGGACAGCTGTCTTAAAGACTACTTGTAATTAGTATCTATGGAGCGGGCAGTGACAGTGACCGAAAACATTCTCTGAGCCTTAGCCTGTCTGGATTAAGTATAAGGTTCAGAAAGTAATTGTACAGTTGGATGTTGGTGTTTAACGAGGTTCTTATGGATATGTTTAGGTATCAGTATGTGCACATGTGTATGAGTATGTAAGTATGTATGTATATTTATATGTATATCTCTTTTTTTTCTCACACACCCCTTTTGTATCACAATTTGAAACCAATATATACGTGGTCAATGAATTTGTTTATTTATGACTTTACATGCAAATGTGTACTGAATCTTGTAAATCTGTATTCTCTTTTGATGCCCCAAATTCATGGAACGCCCTCCAGCAAACTCTAAGGATCGGAGTTCTTCCCTCTCTTCCAGAGTTCAGGAATTTGATTTCGAACAACTTTGTTTCAAATTGTAACTGTTTTAATTGATCTCAGTGGTTTTTGTCACTGATCCTGAGTGTTTGATGTGTTTTTGCTTGTTTTACTGTGCTTGTAATCTCGACAGCATTGGAAATGAGTGAAACCTCAGTGTCTTTTCGAGAATAAATAAAGGTTTGAAATTGAATGAAATTATTATCACACCATCATTATCATTGTACTCTATAACTGCACTCTGCCTTACAGAGATACAAAACTGCCTCTCTTCACTGGTCTTTACATGACTTGATGCTATCGATCATACCAAGTAACTTTAATCATCACTTGTCACTTTATCTTGCCATTCACTGCACATAATGTCTTAATTCCCTGCATAGTTAACGTCACCTTCATATATACCCACTATTTCTATTTCTATTCATCTAATCTATTCTGTTAACATTTTTATTTTGTTTGAACTTCTTCTACTTGTCTTGTGCTGCTGCAGCGCCTGAATTTCTCCTCTGGGGATCAACAAAGTATTATCCTATCCTATCTAAGAAGTCCAAGCCCTGTAGTTATTATCACACAGTGTTTTACAAACAAATATCACATTTGAGCTGATTTAGATCATTTCATGTGTGTCAGTGTTTTAGTGGAAAAATGTGGAGTATTGAGTCTTAAATACTTTTTAATGTTATTCAATCTTTCATTTCAGTTATTTATAAAGCTCATGATCATATCACACGGTACGGAGCACTAACACAACACACAGTAATAAAAAAAACAAAGCAGTAGTGCATGGTGTGGTCAAAATCAAACAGATAGAACTTAAACAACAGAAGGATAAAACGGTACCTAATTTACAAATTTATCTGATTGTAACAACAAAATAACTTCTACATAGATGGTTAGTTCACATTGGCAGATATGTTTCTGTGTAGATCATTACACTCACATTCTTACATTCAAACAAGATGTGAGACTCGTAACCAAAACGAGTGTCCTCACTAAAGTTAGAAACTTCCCTGGTTATCTATCAAACTCTGTGTAACAGTTTGTCTGAGCTTCCTGGATGATCCTGATCCTCAAAGATTACATCATTCAAGTCTAAGTACACGAGGCTGGTGAAACTGGGAATGGCTCATTAAATGAATTATGGTTAAAATCCTTAAACATTAATCAAGCATCATGAGACAAAAAATAAAATAATGTCAAATCTTCCTTTGTTAACTGTTTTTTGCACCAATACACAAAGACAAATTCTTTATGTGTGTAAGAGCACTTGGCAATAAAAAATGATTCTGATTCTGATTCACTTCTGTGTTTTGTGTCTGTTGCAGCAGAGACTCACATAAAGGGTAAGTTTTGATTTATTTATGTTCAGTTTGATGTCTTCTTCCTGTTCTCTCTACATATTTTTTATATCTGTGTTGATTTTGTGCTTTGGAACATAATGTTTACCTCATTTGGTTCAGTTGTAAAATAATTGATTTATCTTTGTTTCAACATTTTACGATGGAGGATTAGGGCCACGTTATTTTTTATTATTTTGACATTAAAGTCGTAAATTAACAAGAATAAAGTACTAAATTTAAGAGATTAAACTCATAAATGAATGAGTTTGAGACCAGTCTGCACAAAATGATGAAAGTAGAACGTTTAATCTTTTCCTCTGCAGATAACTTCCTGCCAGTCAGTGTGGTTCTTTCTTCAGTTTATTGCAGTATCTTTTCAGGGTGCTGATATTTTATGACAATGTGAAGATGATGATGTGTCAAAAGCATGTGTAGTTTCATATCTGCTTAAGTAAAGCTCCAACACAACTATTTGTGTCTGTTATCGGTCTGCCTTGTTAAAGTGTCTCATGTGCAGAGACAGTTTGTGTCCTGTTCATCATTTTACAGACAAACAAGGTCTTACAAGTCTAAGTGAAAACTTCTCTTGAACCGTTTTTACTGACTACACAAGGAAGTATCCTATTTCTTTATTAGTGAAACCTTTAGGACAAGATGCTCCAACAGGATGCTGCTGCTCTTCTGATATAGACTAAAAATAACAACTTTATTCATTTATTCTATTTATTCAAGACATTACTTACTTACATTAATTACTTCATCATTTCCGTGCAGGCTGGTCTCGAACTCGTTAATTTATGAGAATAAAGTCATACATTTATGAGTTTAATCTTGTAAATTTAAGACTGTAATCTCAAAATAAAAAAATGTTTTCAACGTGGCCCTAATCCTCCGTCTTAACATTCAGTCATCTTTTTTTTTTCATGACTTTCGCTGTCCGAGGCGCTGAAATGATCCCTGCTGCAGCATGTTGTGTCATTTGTTTAGAAACAGAATACAAACAGTAATAATAGAATAGAATAGAATAGAATAGAATAGAATAGAATATAAATACTTTATTGATCCCAAACTGGGAAATTGTGGCGTTACAGCAGCAGGTTATCAAACACACTGTATGAGTAAATAAACACAATATAATATTAAATACAAAGTAAATAAGCACTAAAAATATCAAAACTAAGAATGTGAATATATATACAACCAGGATTTAACTTAACATTACTAGTCTTAAATATGAAAATATTAAATACAACATACTGCTGGAGATAAATGTCAATGTGCAAAAACAGAGTTGTAAATGAACAGTATTGACATAGGGAGCTGTCCAGAGCTGTGCAATCAGTGAGAATCTTCCTTCATCTCGGTGTGAAAGATTTCAATCCAAGATGTTGGATGTTTTCTTCACCTCCTGCTCAATGTGGAGCTCAGTCAGTCTAACAGGAGTCACGCTGTCCCTGATTCCTGCTGCTGATCAGAGGGGGGCGCTAATGATTCATGAGATTTTGTGTTTGAAATACATGAGCGAAGAAGAAGAAAGCAGCCCTCTGACTTCAATGAGGTTCTCAGAGACTAGATTTTAAAGAAAGTGAATTCTGACTCAGTATCATTCAGCTCTCAACAACTGATCTGCTAACATGTCTGGAAGAGGAAAGGGAGGTAAAGGACTCGGTAAAGGAGGCGCTAAGCGTCACCGTAAAGTCCTCCGTGATAACATCCAGGGAATCACCAAGCCCGCTATCCGCCGTCTGGCTCGTCGTGGTGGAGTCAAACGTATCTCTGGTCTCATCTACGAGGAGACCCGTGGTGTGTTGAAGGTGTTCCTGGAGAACGTCATCCGTGATGCCGTCACCTACACCGAGCATGCCAAGAGGAAGACCGTCACCGCCATGGATGTGGTTTACGCTCTGAAGAGACAGGGACGCACTCTGTACGGCTTCGGAGGTTAAACCTGATCCTGACTCACTGACACTGAAACCCAAAGGCTCTTTTAAGAGCCACTCAACTGATCTGAAGAGTCGTTCTATATATACATACTAGAAAATGTTATTAATATAGTGATTCAAATCTACTATCTCTTCAACCATATAAAGAAAAAACAAAACTTCAAGTTAGTGTATGTACTTGTCTGCTGCAAATCTTACCTGAGGTAACCAATAGTTAATTCAGAGACTAGTAACGTCCACATCCATGTCTTGCTGTTTCAATTTTCAATAAAACATTTACTAGCTGTTAATGACTATTCATGTAAAGCTAGATAAAGGGAGATGCTCTCTGCATCATGTCTCATCCCCATAGAGGAGAAATATAACAGATGACTTGTATGGACCCTGAATGTCTTTTCATTTAGCTGCATTTGTGAGAAATTGATTTGAATTACTTATTGTATAGCAACAATTAATGACACTATATGTAGATAGCAGAATATTATAAACGCTGCTGATCATTAAAGAATAATGTTCTTTCATCCAGCTGATTAGGGTCTGCATTTGATTGTAATCTTTAATTTACAAACACTTGAACAACCTGAAGTTGTCTGGGTTTATTTCAGTCAATGACAATTCATAACAGCTCTGCATCAAGTCATTAGGTGAATACAACTTGTGACTTATTGATTTAATGAGACTACAACTTTTAACGGACATGTTTGACTTCACCAAATTATTGATTAAGCCTGATTTCATGATACAAAGTTTCATTCAATCCTTATTTTAATGTAGATAAAAAGTTAGACATAACCAATGCTGGGACTTTCTATGTTTTGTCGATTAAAATGACAATTTCACATTTCAACCTCTCCAACATAAATAAATATAAATAATAATAATAATAATAATGTCGTGAGGTGAGTTGTCCCACTTCTCAATACTAAATTAATGGCTCACACATGCAGAGATGATCTATTGTTGGGTGTAATAGAACAATCAGGATTTCAGCTCTTAGATGAAATGTTGTGTGGTCCTTAAAAGGACCGTTGTGTTGCTGGTGATCAGCGGGTTTACTTGGAGCTGGTGTACTTGGTCACAGCCTTGGTGCCCTCAGACACGGCGTGTTTAGCCAGCTCACCGGGCAGCAGCAGGCGGACAGCGGTCTGGATCTCCCTGGAGGTGATGGTGGAGCGCTTGTTGTAGTGAGCCAGACGGGAGGACTCCCCGGCGATGCGCTCAAAGATGTCGCTCACGAACGAGTTCATGATGCCCATAGCCTTGGAGGAGATACCGGTGTCGGGATGGACCTGCTTCAGGACTTTGTAGACGTAGATGGCGTAGCTCTCCTTCCTGGACTTTCTCCTCTTCTTGCCGGTCTTGGTGGCTTTAGAGACGGCTTTCTTGGAGCCCTTCTTGGGCGCTTTCACGGTTTCAGGCATGTTTGTTGAGTGGGGGTCTCAAAAACTGATATCGAACTGAGTGTCAGAAAGCTGCTTATATTTGGCGTTAAAGCAAACAGCATGTGCTGTTGCTCTCACAGGATTGGCTGAGTGACACACTGAGCAATTCTTAGCTTTCAGTCACGTGACCGGCGCTGAGGTCTGAGGTCCTTTAGGGTTTAGAAAGTAGCGACCACCATTGATCACTCCGAGGAGCTGCAGCACGAGCTGTTTAATAAACAAAATACAAATCAGACAGCATTAACATTTACCCTCTTCAAATAAATATTGAATCAGGTTTACAGTATTTATAGTTTTCTTATTGTTAATTAGATTTAAAAGTGTAAAATAATTTTACATTCAGTGATGATGAATACTGTGAAGCCTACCTGAGATTTATTTAATTTGGATTCATGGATTTAAAATTGACCATTGATCATTTATACTATAAACAGGTTAATTGTCTGTTGACATTTTTTCTATTTATTTAGAATAAAATTAAATCTTTAGGAAATAAAATCAATTGAACCATTCATATGATTGTCAGTAAAATCGTCCAGATTCTCCAGAACAGCCTGGTTACTGAGTGTTCATAATAAGAAGTGTTTTGTTTTGTCTCCTTCAGTTTGAAGCTGTTGATGACATGTAGACAGTTTCTGTAGTTTGGATTCATCGTGATAACTGGACCATCATCACTTATTCACTGCAGGACAATTCACCTTGAGTCAAACACATTTCATATGATTATAACTGTTTATGTATATTTAGTTTATTATTGACTCATCTAAATTGATATGTTTCTACATATTTATATATTAAAAACAATAAAGCAAAGTATCCATTAGTTAAAGTTGAAAATATTGTAAAAAGAGCAACACTGAAATATTTCTAAATGTTCTGGAGAGTTTTGAAATGTAAGTTGTGATCATCACAGTCTCAGTTTTTTCATAGCTATTCTCTCCACAAGTTAAGGGTTGATACTTTTATTTTAAGTGTTATAATAGATAATGATGTCTACCTCACTGGTGTGTAAATGTAATACAAATCAACAATAATTTCCATTAATTTTTCTCTCATTTATATATTTTTTGTCAGAATTGCAGTTTTTTACAATTGCTATGACCATTTTGTCTTTTAACAAGTTTCATAAACTCTTAACACACCAACACACCTAAAACACACAATTGGCAAAACAGTTAATTTCATGCTCCAAACCCATTGCAAACTAAACTCTAACACTCATTTTCAAAATACAATAATACACAAATACAACACACCGTGTCCACCAAAACACTAACACATGTTGTCTTCCAACAGGAACATTTAGTCAATCACATCACAATGTCATAAAAACACTAACATCAGATGGAATAACAGAAACTGCATGACTTCACATGTGTCAGGTCTGCCCTTATAGACAGTACATTACAACATATTGATCATAGATTGTGTTTTCTCTTGAAGCCTCTCTACATTTCTGTTTTGTTGGGTTTAGTAAACACATGCATTTTGTTTATTTTTCTGCAGGAATTCAAAACAAAGAAGGAATGACCCATATCATAGTAGCTTTATATAATGTACGGTTTATGAAAAAAAGAAGCCAGAGACAGACATCACCATGTTGATAATGGCAAGTTCCTGTTCCTCATTTAGGGGCTTTCCTCTGCCCCCTGAGGGAGGTAGACGTTGAATCCTTAGAGAGACAAAATACAGTTACATATTAGAAACCGGACGATTACAGTAACTGTAAAACATGGTTCAATTATTTACACTTTGCTGTAGGAGAAGCCATTATAAAATATCCTACCTGTTTCTCTAAAAATCCAGACAATGCCACTGAATCCCGGCTGAGATTTGGCTGTCTTCGTTCACCAGCCACTTTGTATGATAGCCCGTGGTTTATGACAGGGTCTATGATAGAAGCTCTTATTTCACCCATTACCCTCGCTCTGGTCCTTCTTTGAGCGCCACCATGCAGTCTAAGTCCTCTCCCTCCACCTCGTCCAGGTATTCCTCTCCCTTGCCGTTGTCCCCCTCCTCTCCCATGTCCTGGTACTCTTCTGCATTTTGACACCCTGGAGACTTTACGTGCTGACACTTTACTCATTACACTGTTTACTCTTTCTACATTTTGAATATTCATACTTATCATTTTTTATCTTATCTTCCAGTATATTTCTACATTTACTGTTTGTGTATCACTGTAGTAATTTTTGAGTGTTTATTTTATGGCCTTGCGTAACAGTCTTTACATTTCACTGCACATCTGTTGATTATGAGAAAAATGTTGAATCTTCCTCTCCCTCGTCCTGCTACTCGTCTTCCTCTCCCTCTCGAGGCATTGTTTTTACTTTCTTTATGTTGCTCTATAGTGTTCCTTTTGCACACAAGATCAGCCCAAAGAGGTCATTTTTTTTACTGTATAACATATGGGCATGCGATTGAAAGATCCTCAACTCCTGAGTGTGTTTCCTAGATGGGAATCAGCTGTGATATATATTTTTGCGTAACTTCAATCAGTGGTTTTTCAGTAGCAATGGAAAAGATACAGGGGATATATATATATATGTGTGTGTGTTTCAATCTACAATATGAACAGCTATTCACTTAGACTTTAATCTATAAATTATGTTTAGTTTAATTTGTGTTAAATGTATGCATTTTGTGTCAAAGCAACAAGAAATGTGTTGATTGCACAGCCTACACAGACAGATGTTGTTCTAACTGTGTAAAGAGTTTAGGAAAATTGTTAGAAGTATTGAAAAAAATGTCATCGCAAACACTTTAAAATACTCTCACAATTATAAAATAGGTTTGTTCAGTCAGACTCACCGTAGTTTACTTTTAATCATCCTGCACCACTTCATCCTTCTTTTCTGATTTATTAAACATGGACATAAGCAATGAGCTCATTCAATGAGAGAAAATGTATCTGTTATTGTTCATTTTGTTTCATTTTCACACTTTAATGTTCAGGATGTCTGACTGTCATCAGAACAATCCGCTCAGAATACCTCAGACATGTATTTGAACAATCACATTCACCTCCACTTAAGTCGTCCCTAGACTTTAAATTAATATTCATTCTTTATCTAACGGGGACACAATGAATATGTCATTGTTCATTTTCATGAAGCATTAGCGCCCCCCTCTGACCAGCAGCTGCAGTGTGACTCCTGTTAGACTGACTGAGCTCCACATTGAGCAGGAGGTGAAGAAAACATTCAACATCATGAAATCATTCACACCGAGTTGAAGTAAGATTATTACTCTTTTTATTCTGTTTCTAATCAAATGACACAACATGCTGCAGCAGAGATCATTTCAGCACCTTGGACAGCGTGTTTCCTCAGTCATCAATCACTTTTTTAACTAGATTTGTTTTTGTTTTTTTTACAAATTGTTGTAGATGTGTGTGTGTGTGTGTGTGTGTGTGTGTGTGTGTGTGTGTGGAGGTGGGGTCATATTTTTTTTGCTGCATCATTAATGTATAAAAAGTGTTTATATACACACATACATTTGATGAATATACTTTTCATATATGAGACTCTTTGATGTGTCTGTGGTGGTTCAGAGAACTGTGTCTTTAGAGGTCATTATTTGTTCCCATAGCGCTTCTTTAAAGATGATTAAACTAATGTGGTGGATCTTAACCTGCATTCATCATTGTTTATAATATCAGGTACAGCATCCTTTAATCTACAGGCTATAACTAAAGTTAGTCTTTAATCATCAGTATTTAATAATGATATGGATCTGTATGAGGAGCATCCTGTAGCATCTTAACCGTCTTCATGAATCACTGTGACATTTATTCCAAGAGGTCGTCAGTGAACCTGTTTGTGATCCAAACTTAAAGGCCTGTAGAAGTAATGGTGTCAACTTCAATGTTTTATGGGATTCAATTATTTATTGAACAAATTAAAGTCTATAATGAAGTGATTCCTGAGTTCATAGTGTGTTCTGGTGATTTACTGAAGCTCTTTTAGCTGAACAATGATTCTAGAAATCTGCACCTCTCAGGAAACATAAAGGAGATTAAATATTGACAATGTCTCTTAATTAGGTAATACATATCAAATATATGTGTACTGTTTATATCCATCTGGCAAACTCTGGTGATTAATTTGTATAACTCCTGAAATTCAAATGTAGTTAAGTGAAGAATACATAAGATGTAAGATAAATGTAGTGTTTATTATATTAATAACTTTGTAATAGGTCAGTGCTCTGTATGGTTAGAGATAACTACATTATAATGTTTTTGTGGTTGCAGTACTGTAGGCAGCAACTAGTGTAAAACATGAGACTAGAATGAACTAATAAAGTCATCAGTATGAAGTGAAGAGTAGAGGAAGATGTCTTAGTGAAATGTGGTGGCTCTTAAAAGAGCCGTTGTGGTTGTTTTAGAGAGTAAAGAGATTAAGCTCTCTCTCCGCGGATCCTTCTGGCCAGCTGGATGTCTTTGGGCATGATGGTGACCCTCTTGGCGTGGATGGCGCAGAGGTTGGTGTCCTCGAAGAGACCGACCAGGTAAGCCTCGCTGGACTCCTGCAGAGCCATGACAGCGGAGCTCTGGAAGCGCAGATCGGTCTTGAAGTCCTGAGCGATCTCACGGACCAGACGCTGGAAGGGCAGCTTGCGGATGAGCAGCTCGGTGGATTTCTGGTAACGACGGATCTCTCTGAGAGCCACGGTACCGGGCCTGTAACGATGGGGCTTCTTGACGCCGCCGGTGGCCGGGGCGCTCTTACGGGCAGCCTTGGTGGCCAGCTGCTTCCTGGGGGCTTTGCCTCCTGTGGACTTACGAGCGGTCTGCTTAGTTCTTGCCATGGTTTCTAGTCTCTGAGTGAGAGGTAAATGTGTCAGAGACTGGAGACGAGCTGCCTTTAAAAAGAGTGAGCGGATGTGAAACAGTGACGCTGCTCCAGACCTCTAGCCTCTGATTGGTGACAAAGCCGCTTCTGGAGCTCAGTCCCGCAGGGGGGGGTCGAGCCCCCGCCTCAATCTCCGCTGCTCATTGGAGAAACGTTTTTCAAATCGCGGAGCGAAGCTGCGAGTGGGGCCGCCCTCCTCTGCTAAACTCGAAGCCTCTTTTCTGGTTGGTGGGGCAGGAAAACGAGCGCGCTACGCGGACATATAAGGGAACATCTCGGCACACAACTTATTTCTCTCAGTATCGACTCTAGAGATTAACCTACACCATGTCAGGAAGAGGCAAAACCGGTGGAAAAGCCAGAGCAAAGGCAAAGACCCGCTCCTCCCGTGCTGGACTCCAGTTCCCAGTCGGTCGTGTCCACAGGCTGCTGCGTAAAGGAAACTATGCCCAGCGTGTTGGTGCCGGAGCCCCCGTCTACCTGGCGGCTGTGCTCGAGTACCTGACCGCTGAGATCCTGGAGTTGGCCGGTAACGCTGCCCGTGACAACAAGAAGACCCGTATCATCCCCCGTCACCTGCAGCTGGCTGTCCGCAACGACGAGGAGCTCAACAAGCTGCTCGGAGGAGTCACCATCGCTCAGGGAGGAGTGCTGCCCAACATCCAGGCTGTTCTCCTGCCCAAGAAGACCGAGAAGGCCACCAAGAAGTAGACACCCAATACTGACCTCAACAAACACAAAGGCTCTTTTAAGAGCCACCACATCACAACTAAAGAGAAAATTCTTCTTATAAGTCAAGTTGATTATAAACCTTTCCTAAGACCATGTAAGTGAAGAAACAACAATGATAATTAAAGGATGTTATAAACACAATCTACAGTTTTAATCAACATACCAGACAGTTTAATACACTATACCCGTATCTATAGAACCAGTCACTGAGAGTATAAAACATGTGTCTTGTGTATTTCAGACAAAGAGCCCTCAGACTGGGGAGGGGTTAAGGAAATGTATATCTGCAGGTTTGTGGTTTCATGTTGTTGATATACTCATAGTGGTGTGGCATCTTTTGGATTTAAACCTACAACCAAGGTGCAAAATAAATTTAAAAAAGTTGGTCACAAAAATGAAGAGTTGAGTGCAACACAAGAACAAATGCTGAGCACACAGTTAAGACTTGAAAACAACATTTATTTCCACAATACCTTATTTAAGTTACAATAATTTAAATACAAAATATTTAAGGTGTACATTTTGTTACTCTTCATTCTGAGTTTATTCGTAGTGCTTTCATTAAGTGTTGCTGGAAGTCTTGAAGGCCCGTCTGTGAACTCTTCATCTGAACTTTTTCTAACACTAAAAAAGTAGGCGTCACTTTAAAGCGTCCATCTTTGGCTTTCAAAGAAAACACTCAGCGTCTCTGACATCCATCAGTGCGTTAACTCCTCTTGGCGTCGAGGAGAGCTGTGACGGGGGTTAGGACCACTCCTTGTCTCTGCAGGTGTCTCAGGATGTCCAGGATGGAGTCCAGCTCCAGACGGAAAGCCTCCAGCTCTCTGCTCTTGTCCTGAGCCAGACGCTTCCAGTGCTCCACCTCCGTCTGCTGATCAGCCTCAGACGTCTGCCACGAGCTGCCGATCACCTGCAGAGAGAGAGAGAGAGGACACTGAACATCTCTGATGAATATCTTTTGTGCCGGGTGACAACGTAAGTGAAGCAAATGTTTCACTCTGAGAATTTACAAACAAGTCAAACAAGAAGAAAATGATTTTCAGTTTGTATGATTCCGGCCCTGTGTCCACCTCGCCCTTTTTTCTGGGCTTGCATGAAGCCGGCACGTCGGTCCTGTTTCTATGACAACAGCCGCTGTATGACCGATACGGCTCCATTACTTTTTACTGCATGATTTATTTCCCGATCAGACACGGGACAAAGAGGAAGTGGGTACAAGACAAGACCTGTAGGCAGCAAAACTACAGGGAATCTCATGTTTGGAAAAGAGCGATGGTGACATCAACAGCACTTTTCTGAAAAGTTGAAAGATTTTCAATTTTAGCGCTCAGGGGAAAAAGAAAGACGCTGGGAGCCGCGCTTTTTCTCAGTGCGGCCGCCTGCTGCTGCAAACGCTCTCTACTCATTGGAAGCAATGGAAAAAAAAACACTAGGTGAACACGGGACCTTTACGTATCTACCTGTTTTTAACATAAGGAAAACTTTTGCTCGTCCCCGTGTGACTTGAGCTTTTCATTGTTCATCTTCTCTCATCATGAAATTACATCAGAATGATATCCGTCCAGATGTGCAGATAAAGCAAACTTAGGGAAAACTTCAAAATATTTTTGCAACTATTTGTCATTGAGACAACAAAATAAAAAAAGACTAAGGTTTTAAAATGTCCTGTGTGCGACTCCACAGAACCACAGCTTCTTCCAGATCGTCCATTAAGCAGCAGGTTATCGAAGGGTTAAATTGTAAATGATTGGTGACCTAAGGACATTAAAAACATCATTATCAGCGGTACCTGTTGTAGCTCTTTCTCTCTGTGCTGGTGTCGGAGCTCCATGTTGAAAATCTTCCTCTCCAGGCTACACAGCAGCTTCACCTCTGGACTCTGAGCTTCTTTAGCTTCCTTTAACTCCTGCAGAAGTCTGGTCAGCTAAACACGAGGTAAACAAAGAGTGGAGGTGTTACAATAATGAAATAAGCTCTGCATCTTATCTAAATGTAATGATCCAGTGGAAACACAGAACCCAGAGAACAACATCAGAAGTGGTGTGAGTTATCTAAAAATCGAGATTCTTATCTTCTATCTCAGATTTTAAATAGATTCATAACTTACAAAAATTGAAAAAAAGGTTAGCTCTTTAGCTCAGTAGAATGGCCAAATGGAGCAGCAAGAAATTCAGCCAGCCTCACAGATGACTGGAGTAGATCCTGAAGTACGTACTTATTCAAAAGTAGACTTTGAATCATGAATCCAGAATCATTTTGTATCAAAATTAGATTCTCAAATTGAATCGTGAGACACCCAAAGATTCCCAGCCCTAAAAATCAGCGTTTTTTTTTTTTTTTTTTTTTTGTATAGACCAAAGCCTCCTGAAAAAGTCTCAAACATTTCAGGACAGAAATCTTCCTGGCTTGTTTACACGTCTCTCACATGGTTAAGTTATCCCTGTCTGACGAGAGAGGGGGTCTCAGGACCATGACGTAAAAATGACGACACAAAGGCGAATGGAGCAGCCCAGTCCAAGACTATACTCATGGTTTTATATGTTAATGCATTTATATCAGTGCTATAAAGTCAAACACAGGTTGTGTGTGATTTCTTTAACCTGCAGAATCCAATAGCTCTCTGCCAGCTGTTTTGTCTCTTTGGTCTCCACTGAGGTGAATAAAACCACCTTATATATTCCTTTCATTAAATGTTTAAAAAGAAGCATCAGAACTGAACCCCTACCTGTTTCTGCAGAGCGTCCTCTCTGGTCCTTGATATGACCAGCGCGTCTTTGGCTCCCTGCAGCTCTCTCAGCTGGTCTTGTAGATGTTTCACCGTAATCTACAGGAAAAGTCAAGGTTAAGGTGACTTTCTGTTTCCATTTAAACTTGCTGTGGGCTGAGTCATTACCTCCTGCGCGTTGAGCTTATTGGTCAGTTCAGCCAGCTTTGAGGCGGAGTGCTCAAAGGCGTGGGTGGCTCGCAGCTGGTCCAAGACCCTGAGGTGTTCAGTCTTGACGGAGGACAGCTGCTGTGCAGAGTGCTCCTTCAGCCTTCATCAGATCACATTAAAGTCAAGTCATTAGAACACATCAGGGGACCTGCAGAAAAAAAACATCAGTTCATGTGCTCACACATGGTTCATGTACCTGCAGAGATCCTCTCTGGCCTGAGCAGCTTCTGCCTTCAGCGCCTCCCGGTCCTGCTCGCTCTGCTGCTGCAGGAGGTCCAGGTCCCGCTTCAGATCCTCGTTCTCCTGCAGAACCTCGGAGATGTGACTGCCTGTCAAAACATGGAATATGCCGAGGCTCCAATCAGGAATTAAAACATGAAACAGACATCTTCAGGGCTGACAGCAGGTGCTTTGTTAGTTCTGATATGCTCAGTCTTTAAAACAGATTCTAAACACTGCACTACACTATAATCATTCAAACAAAAAAAAAAAGTGCCTACTTATAACTTCCTCTCCATTCTCTAGATCAAACTACTGACTGAAGGCTATCTGTCCACCATGGTCATTTACATCTGCGTAGAATGCTTTATGGCAGTATGACAGAAGCCATTAGCAGGAGCTGCAGCCCCATCTAGTGGCAGAAGGCTGCATTACAGTTTAGACATTGAATTAGAATAGAATAGATGTTTATTGCCACTTGCACAGGTACGTTGGAATTTGTGTGCGTTTCTCCCTGAGTCAGCTTCTACAAAAAAGTTCAAATTAGATATAAAACAGAATATACAGAAAAGTAAATATATTAATAATAATAAGTTGTAGTAACAGCTAAGTAAATTAAAATAAACTGTACAGAAGCTATACACTGTATTAAAGCAAATATATAATACAAAAAAAATAACAAGGGGAACACTGTTCAATGAGATGAAAATATAAATAAGTTTTCTTGTCTCTACTTTCTACATCTCTTATTGCACCTGAGGTTATTGCACACATATTTTTCACATTATATAATTACACTGTTTTTTGTTTTTAAGGTTAATATAGCACATGTATTGAACTGAACTGTCATTGCAGGTCTGAATTACTAAAAAAAATAATAGTTGGTTTTAACCGACTATGAAGTCTAGTGCTGGTGTGGTTTAATCTGCTGATCTCATCCCTACTTCTGATCTGAGTATGCAGAGTGAAAGTGGACCTCCTTCGTACCTGTGAAGACGGTGGGCTGGTAGGTTTTCTCATACTGAGCAGCTGGAAACGTCTCCTCTCCTGCACACGCGTCTCCTGCAGGGGCAGAGCTGAGAGTTTTTGCAGGTCCTGCTTGTCGTTTGGTTTCTGGTCGTGGTTTGGGGACAGACGACGGCGTGTTCCTCCTCTCTCTTTGCAGTCTCTCCACGGTGTGACTCAGCTCCTGAATGGTTCGGGTCTTGGCGGCGAGCTCCTGGTTCAGGCGGTCGATCCGGACACCGAACGCCGCCTCGGCCTGACGCTGGTGTCGGCCTGGACTTGGCTGGGCCTGAATAAAGAAAGTGGATTTTATTAGTGATTCATGCTTCAGCTAAAGATCTGTTTTATACATTTTAATGGCTTGTATAACTCGTAGTAAAAACCTTTTGTTTGAGCTGCTGCCGGAGAGACTCCATCTGGTCCTTCAGGGAGTTTTCTTTCTCCTGGTGGGTTTCCTTCACACGCTGAAGCTCGTCCTCCAGAGTTTTTACCCGTGCGCTGCAGGGCTCTGATGCAGCTGCTGAGTTTGCTGCTTCCAGCTGCTGCTTCTGTTCAAGCTGCAGCTCCAGATCTGAGATTTGTTGCTCATAGCGGAGCTAAACACAAACAAGATGAAATTCCACTTTTCCTTGAGCACTTAGGAATACTATATTCATATTCTTCAACATCACGATGTAGTTATAAGACAATTTATTTTCTCTTGGTGCACATCAATATAAAAACTTCATAAATGAAGGTTTGATATTGATTTCAATTTTATTCATAACTAACTAACATCATGTTACTGACTGAATATAGTTAGGTTAAAAACATCTTTACTCTACCTTGATCCTGTGGAACTGTTGCTCCATGGCTCGCAGGCTACGCTTGGCCTCCTCGTCTTGACTCTCAAGCTCCGCCTCCAAACGCTGAATCCTGCGCTCCAACAGGGCGTTGACCCTTCTCGGTGTGGTCGTTTTGACAGCGTCCACATCCTCTGAATCACCAACCGAGGCTGCAGCGTAGATCAGAGCAGGCAGGGAGTTTGGGTTTCGACTTCTGAGAACCTGCTCCAGCTCCTTCACCTGGTGAAGACAGAACAACTCTTAAAATACAAAGATATGTGGACTGGAGGACGCAGCGAGGGAGGGGTTAAAAAAAAGTTAGTTTGTTTGTGTGTCAAACCTGTCTCTCCAAATCCTGCATCCTCCTGATGTCTCCAGTTTTCTCTCGGGCCTTCCTCTGCTGCTCACTGCTCCGTTTGCTCACATCTGTTTTCAGTTTTTCAACCTTGAACGCAGAAAAAAAACCTGCTATATCAAAAGTTTCTTTCCCAGTAAGCTCTTTTGCTAGTGGAGTGTAATGGGTGTGTCAGGATCATCACCTGCTCTTTGAGTTGATGTATCTCAGCCGTAGCTGCCCTCAGTCTGCCGGCGTCTCTGTCCAGCAGCTCCTGGTTCTCAGCAAACCACTGCAGCTTCTTCTTCAGGGCTGACACCTCCTCTCTGTGCTTATCCTCTGACACATTCAGAAACCCAACCAAACACTCAGCTGTGCATGTACACTTCTGAAGTCTTAAAAAATATGAGCTCCATCTTATTTTTTTGAAACAAGAGTTTAAAATGCATTTAGCTTTAAATTCCAAGACAGTTTTCATCTGTCCTTACCTGAGCCTGGCACGGCCTGAGTTTTAGCCTGGTCTCTCTCTCTCTTCCTCAGCTGCAGGTCGGTCTCCAGAGCCTGCTTCTCTTGCTTCAGTCTGTGAAGGTCCTCACACAGCTCGGCCTCCTTCCTCTGCACATAGAAACAAATATCTGTCAAGATAAGGGACTGAATCTGAACTTTAGGTTGACACCTTCCTTAACCGCAAACATTACATACACATAATACTTGCATGAAGTCTGCATACCCATAGGTGTACCAGCCCCCAGACAAAACTCTGAGTGGTGAATAGATGGTGAATGCAGCGGCTAATAGTTGTGCAACGCTCACAGGGAGAAAGTGGGCGGAGCAAAGATATTGTTCCAGAGAAGTTTCACGACTTTATCCTGCACACTCAGTTGTTTGCATTATGTTTTCTGCTGTTGTGTTATTGAGGATACGTCCTTATACATGTTGTAGTGAATATCAGCACACTAAAGCCTTCTTCACACTTGCACAAAACTCCTGAAAAACTCCTAAGGTTTCTGGGGAAAGCTGCAAGAATGAACCCAAACAGACACATTTTTCACTCAGACCTTATCTGGAGTTTCTCCTTCGAGCCCCCCTCGACTATTTTTCTGCAGAAAGTCAGAGTGAGCTGATTGGAGAGGATATTATCAGGAGAATTCACCTCGACTGATTGGGACGGGGTGGTGCAATCATGCCCTGTGATCGCTATGATCTCCCTCTCTCGTGATTAAACGGCTGCATTATGTTTCCTGTCCAGTATGTTCTTCTCCACTCTTTAGTTGATACACTGATTCTGTCAAACTACAAGTTGCATTTATATATAGAAACATATTCCCATTATAGTGTTGTGTAGCGGACTCTTGCGCAGTCAGCCACCTCTGAGTCTTCCTTTCTCCCACTGAGTCAGGGGCACTCCTCCTGAAATTCCCTAAAAATGTGTGCTAAACAGTCACCTTTACTGAACAAACGCTACCTAGATGCTCCCCTGACATAAACCACACTGTGTGTTTGAAGTTGTTAAGAGTGCATCCAACACAGATAATCTCTAACTGAAAGGTGCACGTGGAAATGGTACATTTCTGAAAATATCAGAGCTTTCATGTGTGATCAAGGCTCGACTCTGTTCAAATAGTCTTCTGTCATAACTAAATGCTGCAGCTGCCATGAGACTCAGCTGAAATGCTCGTCTGCACAAACCCTTCTCAAACAGCGGCACAGACTGACACGAGAGTGAGTCTGTTGTGTGAGATGTGAGAGGTTATATATATACGGTATGACAGTATTTTGAAGGATTGGGATACGCACCTGAAATGTGTTTATTTGAGCCAACAGGTCTGAAATGCGTCGAGTGTGATCCATTGAGCAGACGTTTCCAACAGGCCTTGAGTTTCTGTTCAACTGCTCCCTGTGGAGGATAAAAGAACTTCAAAACTACATATTTATTCAAGGACTACACTTCCAAAGATTATTATCACTAACACAGCTGTGGGCCAGTGCTAGCACACTTAAACCAAAGCAGCGGCCTACAAATTGGACATTTTGCAACTTGTTTCCTTGCTAAGCGTTGCATGCATTATTGCCGTGACAACCAAAGTTTGTCAAAGAAAGTCAACAAAGAAAAATGAAGAGGAATGATCCGTCAATAGGAGAGAAAAAAGAAACAGGAAAAAATGTCGGCTGGCAGACATGATGGTGATGAACGCTGGTTGGAGGGCCCCAAATAGATTTCCGCCTGGGGCCCCGACATGCTCTAGAATCGCCACTGGGTGAGAGAATCAATTTATTTGGACAGAGACATCTTCAGTGAACCCACCTGGTGAACGCCAGCTGATTCAGCAGCGTCTGGTTTTCGTTAAACATGGCGTCCTCGTTGGCTTTAGTCTTGGCCTGCTGGGCTTTCATCTGCAAATACAGCTTCTCGTTCTCCTGTGAGAGAACTACAGCTTTACTACGGTTTAACTGGCTCAGATTAATACGTAATAAAGAAGTTACTCAAGCTTCAAAGATAACCCGAAGCACGGCTGAAGCATCAGTAAAACACTGAAGAAGATGAAAAGGAAAAGGTCACAAACAGTGACATTAAACTATTCATATGAAGGGAAACACACCTGCTGGTAACCTTTAATGAGCATCTCCTGCTCTCTGATTTCTTTATCCGTCTGTTGCAGCCTCTCCTCTGCAGCAGAGTCCGAGGTCGCCTCTGATCTCTTCCTCTGATTCGCTTCTTCTGCACTTCTCAGCTAGTGAGGGTCAAACACAACTGATTCAATTCATGGTGATGTCACCTTTATCCATATCTGTTCACAGAACACAAATCACCACTAGAAAAAAAAGCCAAAACAGAAATATCTTGTGCGCACAAGTTAAAGTCAGGGTTGGTAATTTTCCAAAACTAGCATGATTTTGAATGTGGTATTCCCTCAGTGCTCCGTCTGCACCCGTCTTGTTTAGGCACCTTGCTCTGCAGCAGGAAGTTCTGCTGTCTCAGTGAGGTGATCTCCTCCGCCCCTTCCTTCAACACCTGCAGCTCTCGGTCTCTCTGAGCCAGCTTAACTCTCAGCTCCTCCGCCAGAGAACGCTCCTCCTCCTCCTCCTCCTGCTGCTGTGAGAGAGACATCGACACTGTATGACGACAGTGTAACAACGAGGAGACAAATAGCAACAAGCCTTCATCACAGTTCCTTTCTTCTTTGCATGAGGGTTTCATTTTTACACACATCCTAAGAAAAAACGTGTGAAGCAGAACCTCGATGCAATTTCTGATGTTCCCACACTATATGTGCTAAACGTGTTTTCAAACAGTTGAGTTGCACACAATTTAAAGTCAAAGTCAAAGTCAAATCTTACTTTGTTACTTTGAAGACGATGAGTCAGTCTGGTTTCTTGATGATCACCGACTTCCCGTGTGTCTGCGGCCTCGTGCTGCCGGCTGGTGTCTATCTGCTGCTTCAGGACGCTCACTAAGGACTGAACTGAAGACACCAGCTCACTGCTCACCCTCAAGCCTGGATCTGCCCATCAGAGGAAAAAAAAAGATTCCTAAGAGAGAACTTAAACACACCTCAAGGTTTTGGCTCACAGATTCAGAAAAGGGGCAAAAAAAAAAAGAGTCTGAACATTTTTGGATCTTGCAGAATAATAATATGCAGCAGGAGAGTGAGACCCGAACAGGAGACATACTGTTAACACAAAGTGTGAACACTCTGACTCTATGACTCCACACGGTGCAAACAGGGTCTCTGATTACCTGCGTAGTTTTCTTTTTCTTGACTCCATGTGACTTTGGCTCTTCCGTGTGGATGCTGCAGAGGACGTGAAGCATTGCTTTGAGTTTTGGCCGCAGCAGCAGCAGCAGCAGCTCTACTTGACCCTGCAGACCTCGAAGTCACCGCGGTCCTCCCCTCTACTCTCCGGCCCCTTATCTGAGAAACGGCGGTGGGGGTCCTCACCGAAGATGAAGGAGGGTGAGAAAAAGTGGAGCCAAGGGAAACCTGAGGGGGAAAATATGATGATGATTCATTTTCTTTTTTATAAAAGCTGCTGCGTTCATAAATTCAAGCAGTGATGAAATGGAGAACAGTTTTCCTCACCGGTTGTTTCTTAGCTCTGCTGGTCTGAGGCGACGTGTTTGAACCATGTTTGTTCTGATCCTTCATCAGACGCTCCACTTCCTGTCTGATGCTCCACGTCAGGTTATGGTTTGGAGAGTCTGGGGAGCCGGACTGGTGGCTACCCGATCCCTTGGCTCCCTTTCCCCCTCGAGCCGCCTGGACAGCCTTTCCTGCCTCGTTCCCTTGTAACTCTGGGGAAGTCACATCTGGATAAGTCCTTTCTAAGAGTCCTACGGTGCTGCAATCAGAAAAAGTAAAGGAACAAACAGGAAGTAAACATTTTGTGGAAGAAAAAACAAATTCAGAAAGGAACTACTAAAGCTGTTTTCCCTCATGCACTCTTGAAAATGTGTAGCTACTTTCATACTCCTCCTAAAATCTGTTTGTTAATACACTATCACAGTCAGGCAGGTGGGCGTTGGGGTCTCCTGAGGCAAAAAAAAACAAACAATGTGGACGAGGCAGATGGAGTCCGCTATACGACGCTATAATGGGGGATGTTTGCCTTTATATCAGCGCTATGTGTAGTTCAACAGAATCAAACTATCAGCTAAAGAGCCACTAGTGAGCCACTAGTGATCAGAATTCAAATGATAAAGCTAATTTGAAATTGAAAATGCAGAAATCATTTTTAAGTTTCAGAATATGGGTGTATTATTTGTCTCAAAAATAAAATGATGACTAATTTTATCTAATTTGAATCTGAGTTTTCAACTTCAAAAATGCACATTCTCTGACTAAATTAAAATGAAGAAAATGCTTTTTAATTTTCAAAAAAGTACCCCGCTAAATTTGTATCATAATTCAAATGAAATAGCTAATTTAAAAATAAAAATGCAGTAACAGAAACACGTTTTAATTTTCAGAATATAGGTGCATTATTTGACCTATATTTAAAATGAATATCTTCTGAATACTCAAAGTGCTTTTACACCGCAGGTCACACCTACGCATTCACAACCACAAGCTGACAAAGCAGTGGGAGCAATTTGGGGTTAAATGCCTTCCCCAACAACATGTCGGACATGAGGCTGCAGGAGCTGGGGATCAAACCCTCGACCCTCCGCTTGAGAGACACCTGACTCTACCGCTGAGCCACAGCCGTGAAAGCAGCATAGCCTGATCTCTTTGAGTTCGTGCATAATGCTCCCACATAAATAAGTCTGAGATATGACATGCATGATTAACAACAAACACATCAGATGTCTGTCAGCTGATGTGTTTGGTGAAGTCTTCATTTTTGTTTTGTCCCAGTAAGATTTACAAACCTGACAGGCTGCAGGGTGAAGCCTCGGATGTGGTCCTCCTCTGGCCTGATGGGTCTCATTAACTCTTCTGCAGTGGGGAGCTCTAGATAAAAAACATAAAACCATTATGAACTAATCGTTTAACACATGTCAGTCCTGTCCCGAGCAGTACGCATGTTGTAGCCCTTCAGCTAACATGCTGAAGCGTCTCTGTTTACCAAAACATTGTAATACTAGAAGTGTCCACCAGGCTGTAAAGATAATTTTCAAACACAAGCCCTGTTTTTTAAGACATATTCAGGGACTGAACGACTTTAAAACGTGTAAGAAGTGAAGGGGAAATCCTTTTCCTGCCAGACCACGAGTAAAATGCTCCCCTCCCCCAGCCCTCCCTCGTCTGACTTTCATGGGCAGAGCTTGTGAAGTATTCTAGAAATGTTCAGGAGTATATAGCAGCTTTCACATTATGCACTCCTGAAAATATCTAGATGATTTCAGGAGGACTGCTCCAGGGAGATTCTCCCGACCTGGCTGTTCACATATGCACCTCACAGCGGGAGAAAAACAGAGAAAAATGTGGCTGTTTGCGTTCACACACAAATATCAGGACATTTTTATGGAGTTTTCTGCAAGTGTGAAAGCCCTAAAAGTGATCTTAAGCTTCTTGAATGCTTCCACAGGAGACCTGATGAGTAAGTATGTTTGAACGCACTGAGAGTCCACTGGTTCCCTCGTACACTGTTAAATAACTTTTGTAGTATCTGACCTGACTCAGCGGTCGAAGCGGGCTGAAGAGATTGTCTGGCATGAGGACGAGGAGGGGAGGATGGAGACACGGGTCTGTTGACCCTCCCCCTCCCCTCCAGATGATGATCGGCGTCGTCTGAATCTGCCACCACGTGGATCTGTCTGTAGGCCTCGTGGAGAGCCTCCATCTCCGAGCCTCCACTCTGCACGTACGGCTGACCTGAACACCAAACAAACCAATCAACTCTGAAGACAAAAACAGAATGAAACTGAAACACTCGGCCACGTTGTTCTGTGTACTTGTTACCTCTGTCCAGAGACCCCGCTGCGTCCTTCCTTCTCTCTTCTCCACCAGTGTCCTCCAGAGAATCATACAGAGACACTGAGACAAGAATGGAGTTAGACTGACCGCTCTAAATGAACATGAGTCTGTTTGGTTAACTACAGGTCCATATTCACTTCATAGAGCTTTAAACAGCTAGTCAACATAACTATTCTCATAACTATTATTCACATAAAGAGGAGAGACAATCTGATACAAATAACCCTGATTGTTTGATAGAAGAAGGAGTATTTCTCTTACCTTTGGCCAAAATTTGAGGCATTTTAGACTTCTGAAAAAACAGAAAACAGAATCAGTTATTGAAATAGAGACAGACAGATCGATGAGTCAGACAGACAGATTGAGACAGAGAATTGAAGGACAGACAGATCGATGAGTCAGACAGACAGACAGATTGAGACAGAGAATCGAAGGACAGACAGATCGATGTAAATCACATTGCAGACGACACTGACATGCTTCCTTTTTAACCTTCTTCTTTTTTCATCTTTGATTTACACTAAAATAAAATACGGAACTCAACTGGTGATCGATGCATGTTCGTCTGATCGTTTTTAGACGAACATGAATTTTTTAGGCCACATTATTAGCTGCTTATTTATCACCAGAACCAATAAGAATGGAGGAAATGTGCACCAACGTTGCAGCGCATTATTCAGCAACACTGGACGTACATAATGAGACTAAGCTGCCAAACTGTTGAGGTCAGAAGAGGCAATATGAAAAGTAATGATGGATCTTTTCTTTAACTTCAGCCCTGAATTTCCCCCCCAGAACTCGGGACCTTTTGAGGAGCTATGTGCCTTTCCACCACAGGAACCAGGGTCTAAATCTAGTTTTGGGGTAAAAGATCTACCCTTAAAAAAAGACCCTGCTATGGGGGGTAGTACTTTCTTAAAATCCAGGGACTTTAGAGGCCATCAAAATTTAAAAAAATGTTTATTGAGAAATTAAATGTTTTCCTTAAAGGAGTAATATGCAACTCTTACACCTAGTGTTTAAAATGGGTACTGCAGCACAAAATCTAAATATTGAGGAGAGCTGTCTCCCCCCCCCCTCCTCTCCGATACTCACACAGGTCACCATGTGGTGGACTCTGAAGCTTCAGTGTTTATCCAGCTCTGCATGGGTCTGTAAACCTTTCTGTGTTCTAACCTCTCTCCATTTTTCAAAAGCATCTCCAATATTGATCCTTAAAACAACAAACCTCCTCCTTTGGTTTGTCTTTCTCGTTCTCTTCTTCCTCAAATTCCTCGCTGTAGTGCGGAGAGTCTGTAGAGGGTGGAGAGAGAAAGACCTGATTTAAACTCAACTCAAAAAAAGAAGAAAGGGATGACGATGAGGGTGCAATCACTCGTATACCTGGAGACTCTCTGATGGTTTCTGTGGCTCTGGCTTTCTTCTGGTCATCATCACTCTGCTCCACCTCTTCTTCAGCTTTCCTGTGAGGAGTGAGATCGTCCTCAGAACATCACAGTCACAGCCCTGATTCTTAAAATCAGTGGCACTCAATCAATGATGCATTCTCTGGTGTGTCCACCCTCATAACTGTGTGTTTATCAAGCTGCGATCTAAGCATTGTGGCCAGCGGGGCGTAACATGAGGAAAAAAGTTGTTTGGTTTAACTTCAAATTACAACAAGTATGGCTGTCCAGTCCAAAGAACCCCTCGCTGAACATGTCACAGTTATAGATTGGGGATATAAAAACTGGACGTAACCATATTGACCTATTTGTTTGTTGACCTATTCACTGACTAACACTGATTATGGCAATTTGGTCCTAGGCATATTTATGACATCTCACTGCATCTTAACTCAGAAAGAAACAAACAGTTTGAACACATGCTGAATCACACTGATAAGTTCTATAACACCTGTCCTCAGTTTTACTGATTTATGATCCTTAGATGATGATTTTCATGCCCTAACTTTTTTTTCAATCTGTCAAGGGGCCTATCGCTTTAAATACGTTTTCTGTGAGCTTCATTCACATGCAGAGTCATATTTTGCAAAACATTTTGGTAACAGTACTGTTCCCTGTGAGTCAACATGGGGACTCCGTCCTCTCACAACACCACCGCCCCCTCTGTTTGTCAGAAAGTGCACGTTGTCTGTGAGTGGCGAGTAGTGGGGAAGGCAAAGCAGCACTGTGTTTTAAAACAGTGCAGTCGCACACAGTCGCACACAGAGACCATCGTTAGGAGCCAAAGCACACTGAATCAAATTCCTACAAATATTGTTGCTTGAAGTGCATATTATTTACTTTCTCCTTTTACGACATCCATCGATCACTGCAGTTTGATTGAAGAATAGGGCCGCATGCACAATATGAAAAGATCAATTGCCGGTCTAAACTTGTTTTGTCTTAATTTGATTGTGGCTCTTCCTCATTTCGCAGCTTTACCATACGTGGAGAAGACTTGAACATAGGCAGAAATAGTTAAGAGTTGTAGATTATGAAGTTTCTGTAACTCGGCCCCAGTGGAGATCCTAAAGTGAACATAATGGCATCACGCCATTGAAGACTTTTCAGGTCCATCTTCATGACATTCTCATCCCCTTGACCCTCTCAAATCTAATCAGCTTGGATTTGACTTTCAGACTAATTCTCATGTAAAATTAGAGAATGACTGTTCACACACCTGCGGTTAGCACCGTCTGTAGAACTTGTCGAGTCCAGCTCCCTGTTCAGCTTCGAGTAATCTACGGTTGATGAAGCACCCGCCTCCAGCTGTGAAAAGAACCGGGCCTTCTCCTCTTCCTCGTCCAGAGTGTCCAAACCCAAACCGGTCGTGTTCCCACCTGGAACCATCCCTACGTCTTCAAACCATATAAAGAGAGACAAAAGATGTAAAACACTAAAACGTCGACCCAACAGGGTTTAAACCTTCACATCCTACTTTTAGAACTGGTTCAGACGGGATGAGAAACACCAAAAGAGGCACTAAAGGCTGCTGAAATCCTGAGAGCAATGTAAGGCTCCTTTTGTTCACAATAAAACATTTGAAGATTCACACTGGATGCAGAAGAAGGTCTTTATTTTTATGTTTCAATGTTTGAATGCAACATTAAAAGGTAAACTGAAGACAGGAACAAAAAGCAGCAACTTTAGCATCTTTTTAAAGATGCTAATTTGCTAAATTGGAGGACTCTGATAGGACAGGAGCCGAAACGTGTCGGTTTAATAAAATGAACGAAGTTTATCTTCAGACTACAGGTGCTGCTGGAGACCTCTTCAAGCCGTCACTCTTCAGGCACCTTGATCGTCGCAATCCGAGATGTAAACATTAACTGTGCAAACTATAAGAGGAGGAGGAAGAGGAGGAGGAGGAAGAGGAGAGGAGGAGAGGAGGAGAGGAGGAGAGGAGGAGGAGAGGAGGAGAGGAGAGGAGGAGGAGAAGAGAGGAGGAGGAGGAGAAGAGGAGAGGAGAGAGGAGAGGAGGAGAAGAGGAGAAGGAGGAGAAGAGGAGGAGGAGGAGAGGAAGAGGAGGAGAGGAGAGAGGAGAGGAGAGGAGGGGAGGAAGAGGAGGAGAGGAGAGGAGAGGAGGAAGAGGAGAGGAGGAGGAGGAAGAGGAGAGGAGGAGAAGAGAGGAGGAGGAGGAAGAGGAAGAGGAGGAGAGGAGAGGAGAGGAGGAAGAGGAGGAAGAGGAGGAGAGGAGGAGGAAGAGGAGGAGAGGAGAGGAGAGGAGGAGGAGGAGAGGAGGAGGAAGAGGAGGAGGAGGAAGAGGAGAGGAGGAGAGGGAGGAGGAGGAGAGGAGGAGGAAGAGGAGGAAGATGAAGAGGAGGAGGAGAGGAGGAAGATGAAGAGGAGGAGGTAAAGATTGTCAACACGTTCAAATCCTTCACGATCTAAGACCGTTATATCGCACACCGCTATGCTAATGTTAACTGTCACTCAGCAGAATGGAGCAGCAAGAACTTCAGCCAGAGTCACAGACGACTGGAGTAGATCCTGAAGTACGGACTCCTTCAAACACAGACTTTGAGTCATGAATCCAGAATCAAAAATAGATTCTCCATCGAATCGTGAGACACCCAAAGGTTCCCCGGCCTTATTTAGTTGATGAAGCTGTGCCAGAAAACCCGACTCTGCTTCTAAAGGTGTTAATTTGCCAGGAAGTAAAGAATCTTTAATCCCTGCCATAGATCACCAGTGTTGTCTTTCATGTATCAGCAATTTAAAATGTAATCCAACAAACTGCTGTCAAAGCTGCCGGAGCATGACTCATCAGATGGAGTTCTTTAAACTGTTTCTTTGTGGGTCTTGTTGTTCGAGTGATCGGGGTTTGACTACACCTTTTTAAAGGTTAAATCAAAACACCTTCAGCCCGTTAATCTCTGTCAAACTCACCGTGTATTTTAGAGTTCTCCGTGCTAAAAGCTGCATCTTTAAGCCCTCCGTCCTTTGAACCAGACTCTCCTGAATCCTCCTCCTCTTCCTGAATACACTGAGACCTCCTCATAGACTTCCTGAAAGTCCTCCCAGGCCGCTGTAGTCCTGCAATAAAAAAAAGTCATAGAGAAGTGTGAGTGTGTGCATGCTTTGTTTTTACTGTGAAGACAGAAAACATAAAAACTCTCTGGACGATCAGTACGTTGCTCCTCATGCAGTCACCTTTACCTCTAAGAGTTCTTTTGAAATCTGGACCCATAACTTTAACCCCTAACAAGGCTTTACACAAGAAGAAGAAGATACACTTTATTAATCCTGCAGCACTCGAACACAACGATGAACCTTTCTGTAAAGGTCCCTTAGATCTGCTGAGTTAGGCCTTCTCGTTGCACCAGAGTCCAGATTCAAGACGAAAAGCTGATCCAGTATCCATCACAGATACATCTCGTGTTCTCTCTGCTTTCGTCAAATCATGGAGAGAAATCTTTGCAGAATTGTCTTTTTGCTTGACAACTTTACTCGCCCATGTTTCCACTTGTAAATTGTGTCAAAATAGATATTTCAACTGTGAGGTTTTGCCAATTTTCTGTTAAATTTAGGGTTGTTTTTATGGAGTGCAATGATTGTAATCCACAAACAGCTTTGCTTTTCTTTGGGTCAGGTGATCGATGTTTGGCAGAAAAATGTGTGATCTTCAAATCTACGATTTCCCCCTGTCAGTCGTTACGAGATGTTGTTGTCTTCCCCAGTGAGTGAACGACGACAACAACAGGCTGAGGGAAGAATATGACATACACCTTTAAAAAATGGGTTAACAAAGAAAATGACCAACAATTCTAATGCCCCGTGTCCACCATGCGTTTCTTTCCTGAGCGCCAGCGTCTTTTTAAAGTGTTTCCAATGAGGAGAGAGCGTTCCAGCAGCAGAAAGCGGCCGCCCGGAGATGAAGTGCAGCGCCCAGCGTCTTTTCCCCCCCGAGCATGCCGCCTTTTCTGTGCTGCTGCTGCTTCCAGCGGCGCTCAAATTGAAAAACATTCTCATAGAGACTGTTGTCATAGAGACAGGACGGACATGCAGCGCTGTTATACTCAGAGCACAAGCGCCGCCCAGAATACGCTAGGTGGACACAGGGTCTAATACAGGCAAAGACTCTACTGCTGAGGGACTATTTCAGCGCTAACGGCTAAAGGCTAACGGGTTGAGGGGGTTTGAGTTACCATCTTCACTCCCCCCCTGGGAGTGACCCTCACTGCTGCTGCTTGTTGGAGAACCACTGGAGTGAGTGTCATCAGGTCTCCTCTCTTCTGACTCACTGAGAAGGTTTTGACGAGCGCTCGTACTGCCAGAGCACGAGTCATCAGATGGCGTCCTGTAAACTTCTTCTTTGTGGGTCTTGTCCAACGGATCCAGTTTATCCAAAGCTTTGCTGCGAGGTTTTGGAACCGGCTTAAGAACGGGCTCGGCGCTGACGGCTTCAGACAGCGAGAAGAAGAGAATCAAAGTGCTGCACCGTGTGCTACATCAGAGAGCTACAACTCCTTCATCTACACTGTGCACGCTGGTTATCAGCTTCACTTCTCACTGGAGGTTTGCCTGTTTTTGAAACAGAGTCACAGTGGATCATTTCCACAGAGGGTATCAGTGCTGCTACCAGAAACACAAAACAGCTGTCTGAGATGTGGGATGGAGTGTTTCTCCGTGTTTCTCTGACTCAATCAAAACTTCTCACAACTAAATAAATGGGAGTCTTTGGGTGCCTCACGATTCGATATATCGATTCTTTGGGTCAAGATTTCATTCAGAATCTATTTTCGATTCAAAGTCTATGTTGAATTTGACTAGACTCCAGACTCACGGTCATCTGTGAGTCCGGATACATTTCTTGCTGTTTCATTTTGCATTCTACTGAGTTAGAGAGCTAGCATTAGCACTTAGCAGCGAGTGACTTACGAGCTATGGATTTTGTAAAGTTATGAATCGATTTAAAATCTCAGAAGATAAAAAACTCAACTTTTACATACCGGTAAATTGTTTGTTTTTTTCCCCACATCTACAACAAACATGAAGTATGAAACAGTATGTAAGGGGCAAGAACTCCACCTTCTTCTCTCACACGGATCAAAGGTCAAAATAAATCAGCAGGAGAGAGAAAAGAAAGCCAAGGTAAGGAAAGAGAGAATATGTGGAGAACGTGATTAGAACTAAAAGATGAGTTAGGCTGAAGTAAAACACAGAAGGAGCAGGAGAGACTGAACGGACGATGAATGAGCAGAGATTCAGAAATACAGAGAGAAAAAAATACAGAAGAAAGTGTTTACGACATTACTCGCCTAACTAAAGTTCATTTCTACTCATTCTCACCATCGTTGTTGTCAAGCGGAGACTTTTTGCTTTTGATAAATCTGCTTTTGGTCGTCTCAGCTGAGGAAAAGAGGGAAAACACAGACGGAGACAGACTTTGAGATCTTCTAGAGATACTGAGAAACGGACTTCCAGTTTTCTACACAATGTCACTTTTCTGCTCTAAATTTGATGGTTTTTTTTGTATTTCATAGCTCAGTGAACAAAAGCAAACAGCAGGGCAGCAAATTTAAGAGAACTGCAAAATCCATTTGCAATATCCACTTCACAGGAGCTTCACTGTTTGATTAAAACGTGTGACAAAGCTGCATTTTAACGAATAAATGTAGTGATGCACAGATACAACGATCAACAAATTTTCATTTTTCAGCAATTAAAAAAAAAAAAGCTTTTTGTTTTGTTTTGGTTCAAACTAAACCAACTGCACATCTCCTTAAAGTTTCTTCTTGAAAACAAAAAACTATACTTAAAAAACCATCGTATTCATTTATCTTGAATGATCCTAAATTGCAATTAAATATTCTTCCATATGTTGAACCCTTAGCTCCAGTATGTCTCTGACAGATGTGCAGGATAGATTTAACCTGGTCAGGTTTTCCACAGCTCGGTTACAAGCAGAGTTCAGCAGGAAGGAGAGGAACAGAGTTATGACAGACGCAAAAGGAAAAGAAACTTCACTCTGAAATCATCAGCATGCTTGTCCTGTTGGAAGAGGAGAAAAGAGGATCGAGATCAGTCAGGCAGAAGTGAAATAAAGAACTCAAGTTGGAGGGGGAGAGAGTGGAGAATAGGTTATTTGGTTATTAATGGAAACTCCCACCTGAGCAGAGATCTATTCAGACTGAATTACTTTGTTCCTCAACAAGATTGTGAAGATTTCTAAAGTGAGTTTTTTATTTTTATGACACACATAAAGATTTATTTCTGTGATTTTCATGACGCATCTGTGAACTTCAAACTTTTACTTTACGCAAGAAATAAACAAGTTAATGATTTATGTCCAAAGCAAGAGATATTTTCTTAAAAAGATCAATCTGTAACTAGACACCTAGTGTCTAGAATGGGTACTGCAGTCCAAATTCAAAACATTGTAGAGACTAAGCTGCTCGCCCGCGCTCCTTCACCCATACAGTCGATGCTCATGAAGGTTACCATGACACTGAAGCTTCAGTGTTTAGCCAGCTCTGCATTTTGAAACATTTTCTGCGTTCTAACCTCTCTCCACTTTTCAAAAGCATGTCGGACATGTATCCTAGTTTTACCACGTTTTAGGTCGGGTACAATCACTTCTATCTGAGCTTCCATCGCTGCAACACCTGTTCGTTTGCCTGATAAACCGAGGGGTGTCCAAAACGGCCGTGTGGGGGTGCCGCCTACTTGTCTAGTCAAAACAAAATCAAACCATTCTTCACCAGAGGAGGACAGACTGGCTGCTGCATTGTTGTGGAAGGAGCCAGCACTTCAACAGAGGATGTTTCCTTAATGACTGATCATACAGTGAGGCCCATCCTTATGTAGAGCTCCACCCCAGCAGGGTCCTGGATGCATATGAGGTGACGCTGCTGGATCCTCCACATCTCCTGCATCCTCGCCCGGTCGATGAGAAGGACACCCACGGAGTCCGTCGCCTCCCAGAAGTGATCGAGCAGCTCTTGGACCAGCCTCGGCGACGGCAGTGATCGGCCATCTCGTTGGCCATCAGCTTCACTGAGGTGTTCCCTCCCCTCCTCGCTCTGCCTGGCCTCCTGCAGGCGGTCTCAGGCAGCCAGGTTCCATTGGGAGATTGCAAAGCTCAGCTGTGCCATGAAGAGGCCGTACAGGTGATGGCTGTCGGTAGTGACACCCCGCGCATACCAGGATGTAATCTACCCTTCGAGTCCCTCGTTTCTGAGAATGCATTTTTAGTATTTTGTTCACCAAAGATGTGGATGATTGAAAACACTTTCTCATGAACAACAATCTTTTTATATTGACAGTTGGTTTTATACACTGTATTTATTATTATTATTATTATTATTATTATTATTAATAATGATAATAATAATAATAAATTAGATTTATATAGCGCTTTTCTAAATACTCAAACAGGGCTTTGAAACCAAGGGGTCAATAAAGTCTAAAAGTCTAACTAGTTCTCATATTTATCATTTGGTTTATCAGAACATTATGCCCATTATGTTTCCCCCAAGAATCCAAAACTAAAAAATAAACACTCAAGCAATCAGAAGCTGTTAGCCTGCAAAGCCAGTTCAAGCCACAGCCGTCTAGTTTGAATATAAAATAACTATTTCTCTTCAGACTATAAATCTGAATGCTAAGCAAAAGTCATCGTTTGAAGCTGTTCTATTTTGTCCTTCATTCAAGTTAAACATTCAAAAGAAAAAACGTTTTATTTCGTCCAAATTGCAGATGAACAATCGGGGTTGACTGTTAACTGCTGGAGGAAACCGAACACGGGTTAATGTTCTAGAGGTGGGATCCTTTCCTCATTATTACCTTTCCCTGCTCCTCCGTCGCTGTCTTCATCGTCAGGCCACCACGACACTGCGGGTTTCTCCGATGGTTTCTTGCTGCTTTTAGCAGAAGTCTTCTTGTCAAAGCCGCCAAAATCCACCGAGTCATCTGAAGCAGACTGACAGGGAAACAAACACCTTTCAGAGAGATGCCTTCAGGGGGGAACATCTGTATGTCACACCTTGTCAGTTTCTGTTTTATGAATCTTTGAAGCATGTTGCTGCACGGATAGTTTACATTAGACTTTAAACAATGTCTCATTACCTCCTTTAAGAACAGCTCAAACTGTTCATCCAGCTCCTCCTTGGTCAGTCTGTGAGACATGGTGATAAAGTTCACGCCATCAGCCAATGAGAATCCAGACAACTGGAGGAAGAACAAGTGGAGGTAAAATTGAATGTTTAGCACACAGTATATTTTCTAAAGAGATGTAATAGCATGGTTTAAGTTTGAAAGTGTCGTGTCACAGGTTGCACATTGCACATGAATGCAGCATAATGTGGTGGATAATGAGGAACAAGAATCCATTGAAAGATGTTTGTCATCTGTCATAGATTTTTCAAAATAAAATAGTGAATGACTAAAATATCAAAGTGTCTCTATGCAATTTAATCAGACTTTAACTTTAATTATTTAAAAAAACTATTCAGTAAAATCTCCTGAAAATTCTCAGGATAACAGTAAGGGACACGAGGAACAAGAATCCATTGAAAAATGTTTGTCACGTGTCACATATTTTTCAAAATAAAATAGTGAATATGACTAAAATATCAAAGTGTCTCTATGCAATTTGAGCAGAACTTACCTTTAATTATTTAAAAAAAAAAAACTATACAGTAAAATATGCTTAAGATTCTCATGATAACAGTAAGGGACACGAGGAACAAGAATCCATTAAGAACTCTTTGTCACCTGTCCTAGATTTTTCAAAATAAAATAATGAATATGACTAAAATATCAAAGTGTCTCTATGCAATTTGAGCAGAACTTACCTTTAATTATTTAAAAAAAAAAAACTATACAGTAAAATATGCTTAAGATTCTCATGATAACAGTAAGGGACACGAGGAACAAGAATCCATTAAAAAATGTGTCACCTGTCATAGATTTTTCAAAATAAAATATTAAATGACTAAAATATCAAAGTGTCTCTATGCAATTTGAGCAGCCTTTACCTTTAATTATTTAAAAAACTATTCAGTAAAATGACCTGAACATTTTCAGGATAACAGCCAGGGACACGAGGAACAAGAATCCATTGAACGTTTCTCGTCACCTGTCAAAGATTTTTCAAAATAAAATATTAAATGACTAAAATATCAAAGTGTCTCTATGCAATTTGATCAGCCTTTACCTTTTATTATGTCAAAAACTGTTCAGTATAATCTGCTGAAGATTCTCAGGATAACAGGTAACATAGTAATGAGCCGAATCATTGTTAATAAGATACAGATTTAAAAATGTAAACCAGCCACTTGAATAGTTTCAGATTTCCGAAATGAAATGCAGTTTAAAATGACGTTAGAAAAAGACAAGGGGGTTCGTTAGGTAGCCAAATGTCAGGCTTATATAGCTACTTCCTGTTATGACTGTCAAAATAAAGCCGTACTCGAGATCGTCCACTGAAACGCAATGCAATTTAGAGAAATTGACATACACCTTTTATCTTAAATTAGACCTGTTGGCGACTTTTGTTAATTTCTTAACAAACAAAACACCCCAGCTGAAGGTTTCCACTCGAGGAAAGGCAATTTAAAATGTAATACTTGGACGCTATCTTATTTTGAAGAAATGATTTCACTGCTTCTGGCGTTCGTCGTTAAATATGACAGAACAGCAGCTTAATCTCCTTAGCTGGTGTCTTTAGCTTGCTGGATGTATAATAATAATGTAACATGTCAGCCACACACGTAATAAAGCACTAAACCTTCATAAGCGAACATATATAAACACAGTTCACAGCTGATAATTACTTTGGCAGCTCTTTCAGATGAACACTTGTTGAACGTTTCTCTCCTCGGTTTGTTGTTTTGAGTGTCGATCAGTTCCCGCGACAACTACCGGGTGACAAAACCAACCTGATTGGCTGAGGAAAATGCGTCATAGAATATGTGAACCAATAGACGCACAGACATTATGGTGCATTCAAGTGGTGTCGGACACATCGTAAAAACGACGTTCCGAGTTGTAAAATGCACAAGAACACCTTCTCAAGTCGGAACAACAACTCGGAAACTCGGGAAATAATTAAGGTGACCGACTTCCCGACTTTACGTCAGAATCGTCATCAAATTGGGTTAATGTTAACATACTTTTTATTAATTCACGTATTGCACATAAACTTTCTGCTCAAATTTAACTTTTAACAGTTACGTTTAACACGTCTTCTTCGTAGCATTCACAGTTTTGTTGTGCTGTTCGTACAACATTCAGACTTTCCGAACTTAAATCACGTGAACACACTGAAGTCGGAAGAACGACTTCACTACTCAGAAACTTGGACCACCCGAGCAGCACCTAAACG